GTAAAATGAAGTACATAGACAAACCCAGATTACTGTAATAATTGCATGGTGTGCAATTCACTCCTCTAGTACAAAGCCCAAAAGATAAGCTATCTATCGAAAGCATTAATAGCTACAGCAACTTGTTAAGAGAGAGATAATATAAAAATATGTCAATTTAGATAAGTAAAAGTCAAAAAGTGGGGGAATAGGATTAAAGTATAGATTTTTGTTTTTATCTTTTTTCTATACTATTGTTTGTAATCTAAGATAAATTGTCATCTCCTTAAAATAACTTATATCTATAAGATGTGTTTTTGCAAGTCTCAAGATAACCACAATGCAAAAACCAATAATTCACTAAATATGAAAAGCAATGAATTAAAGCATTCTACCAGAGAAAAAGTATTTAACCAGAAAGGAAGAAAGTAAGAAGGGAGGAAAGGAAGGAGTTTTGAAACAACCAGCAAACAAGTAACAAAGTGGCAGTAGTCTTTACTTATTAATAGCCTTCAGTGTAAAGGGACTCAGTTCTCTAATTAAATGGCATACAGTGGCTGAATAGATAAACAACCAAGACCCAACTATATGCTGCCTACAGAAAAACAAACAAACAAACAAAAAAAACTTCACCTATAAATATACAGTCTGAAAGAGAAGAGATGGAAAAAGAAGAGATGGAACAAGATGTTAAATGTAATTGGAAACCAAGAAAGAGCAGGAGTGGCTGTACTTACAGGAGATAAAATAGCCTATGTATCAAAGATTGTAAAAAACAAAACAAAACAAAACGCAAAAGATCACTACATAATGATAAAGAAGTCATTTCAGCAAGAAAATATAACAATTACCAATATCTGTGCACCAAACACTGGACGAACCAAGTATGTACAGCAAACATTAATAGATCTAAAGGGAGAGATTGATTGTAATACAATAATAGTAGGGGACTTTATCACCCTATCCTCAAAAATGAAGAGATCATTTAGAGAGAAAATCAAAAAGGGAATATGGAGATAAACTACACACTGATAGGCCTAACATTTACAGAATATTTCACCCAACTTTACAGAATAACATTCTTTTTTGTCATTAACACATGGAACATTCACAATAATAAACCATATCTTAAGTCACAAAACAGGTCCCAACCAGTTTAGAAACAGCCAAACATGATAGCTTGTACCTATAGTTCTAGTTGCTTAGGAGGCTAAAAAAATACCTAGAAGTCAATTTAACCAAAATGTGAAAGATCTATATAAGGAAAATGATAAAACACTGATAAAAGAAATTAAAGAGCACATACAAAAAAATGGAAGGATATTCCATGCTCATAGATTGGAATAATAATATTGTTAAAATGTCAGTACTATTCAAAGCAATTTACAGATTCAGTGTAATCCTTATCAAAAAAAAGAATGAAATTCTTCACAGAAATGGAAAAAAAAAATTTACCTGGAACCACAAAGGACCCTAATAGCCAAAACAATCCTGAACAAAAAGGACAAAGCTAGATGCTTCACATTATCTCATTTCAAAATTTATGACAAAGCTATAGTACCAAAACAGCATTGTGTCGGCATAGACCATATAATGTGTATAGGACAGACACATAGAGCAATGGACCAGAACAGAGAATCCAGATGTAAATCCATGTATTTATAGCCAACCTATTTTTGACAAAGTCTCCAAGAACGCCATGGGGAACGATAGTCTCTTTGATAAAGGGTGCTGGGAAAATTGTGTAACCAAATGTAGAAGAATGAAACTAGGCCCCAAATTCCTACCATATAAGAAAATCAAATCAAAATAAATTAAACACTTAAATCTAAGACCTGAAACTTTGAAACTACTAGAAGAAGACATTGAGGAAATGCTCCAGGATGATGATATAGAAAAAAATTCCTATGTGTAAGACCTCAAAAGCATATGCAATCAAAGCTAAAACAGATAAAAGAGATTACATCAAGCTAATCTCCTCTGCACAGTAAAGGAAACAATCACTATAGTGAAGAGATAACTCATAAAATGGGAGAAAATTATTTACAAGCTTTCCATCTGAGAACAGATTAATAACCAGAATTACATAAGAAGCTCGAACAACTCAATAGCAAAAAATATCTGATTTAAAAATGAACAAAAGATCTCAATAGACTTTTCTCAAAAGAAATCATACAAATGCCTAACAGGGACATGAAAAAATGCTCATCACTAATAATCCGAAAAATGAAAATCAAAACTACAATGAGTTATCATCTCACACCAGTTAAAATGGCTTTTTAACAACAAGACAAGTAATAACATGCTGGTAAGGTTGTAGAGACAGGGGAATCCTCATATTCTCTTAGTGGAAATATAAATTAGTTCAGCCATTACGGATAAAAGGATGGAGCTTCCTCAAGCAACTAAAAATAGAACTACCATATGTTCTACCAGTTCCACTGAATATATAGCCAAGAGAAAGAAAATCAATACATTGAAAAAGATCTGCATTTCCATGTTTATTGCAACACTATTCACAAGAGCCAAAATATGAAATCAACCTAAATGCCCATCAATGAATGAAAGGATAAAGAAAATTTAGTACACAATGGGATGTTGTTCAGCCACAACAATGAAGCCTTGTTATTTACAGCAACATGGATAGATTTGGATGTCACTATATTAAGTGAAATAAGCCAAGCACAAAAAGACAAATATTGTGTGTTCTCACTGACACGTTGGAGCTCAAAAATCAATCTCATGAAAATAGAGTAGGTTGCTGGTTACCAGAGGACACAAAGGGTATGGAAATAGCAGAAAGAAGAGAAATTGACTAATGTGTACAAATATATAGTTGATAGAAGAAATAAGATCTAGTGTGAGACAGATCAGTAGGATGAGTAAAGTTTCATCCCCACTACCCCCGTCCATGAAAAATTTATCTTTTGTGAACTGTCTTCCAGGAAACTGGTCCCTGGTGCCAAAATGGTTGGGGACCACTGTTACAGAGCACTACGTGTGTTTAATGGGAATTATTGGTTATACAGTGACTATTATGTGTCAGGAACTTTTAATATGTCTGTAAGGCTTCCAGTAAATAAGTAAAATGAGGCTTAGGGAAATTACTTCTTCAAGTCACAAAAGTAGCTAGCATAATAAGAGCTCCCCCTCAGATGCGGGAGATTGTATTCTTGCTACGACACTGTGATATTTTTATACCCATCCAGTTATGGTGATCCTTAAAGACTTCATGAGATTTGAAATGAACTCTGAAGAAGGAGATTTTCTCAGGTGAAGAAAGCTCAAAAGGAAGTAGGGGAAAGCATTTCCAGAAGAAGGAATGTTTGTCCCACTGACCCGGAATAAAGGCTCCTTGAAGCGCAGGTAGAAGATAGGTCTTGAAAAGACAATGAGGTGAAGAGTCTTGGATATGAGACTCAAAAGTTTGTAGCTCGTAAAAGTGAGCCAATAAAAATGTTAATGCTAAGGAATGCATCGATTTTTCAAAGACAAGGTTTTTCTGGCCTGAGATTCAAAATAAATTTCTTACATGAAATCTAATCAGGGCACAGGGCACACAAAGTCACCATGAGTGTCAAAGCAAATCTCAGAGTACTTTTAATGCAATAAACATTCATGAAACATCAGGCATGGTGTTTTGTGCTAAATAATTCAACCTTAGAACAAAATTCAGTGAAGATAATAACAGGCTAAATGAATATGACTTCAAAGGTCTCCAAAAGGTAGGCTGATCATCTGTTCTGTTAACCATGATCCTGAGATATTTCCTTACAGATGAACTTTTCCCTTATAACCAAAGGTTTACAGTTCAAGATTATACACTTCATTGAACACCCTGGCCCTGTGGTATTCTTTGCTGTATACCAAGTTCGGATTAATTCGCAGCTCTGAAAATCAGACAAGCAGATATTACCAGTTGTTCATCACCACAGACATTTAGCTGGACTATGAATATTGGAAAGAAAAAAAAATGCTCATGAAAATATGTGGCGAATTCCTTTAAAGAGAAACCAGTGAGAAATATTGCTTCACCTTAAAGCCTAGCTACCCTTTTCTCAAGACTGTCCTTACATAACCTATTGGCATGGGGAAAAAGTCAATGTTTATAAACTCCTTAAGAAACTTAAAATCTGGAAGAGGCAACTACGCATCATGTCAACTAAATAAAGTAAGATCATTAACACTAAGATCAAAAATTGGAATCCACGTGAAAGATTCTGCAAGGATCACTGAAATCTCAGTCCTTATGTACTATTTAAAATATTTCTTTAAGCAGAAATAGAAAATCTCTTAGTCCATTCTATTTCAATTTAATTTCCTGGTCTTAAGAAATCTGTGTTTAACTGATTGAGTTGCCTAATAGGTGCAAACATGAAAATTTGCATTGGGACTAACTTTATTCTCAGCTTAAAATCAGCAGTATCAATAAAAACACAAATACCGATTTTTTGAAAGTTTAACTTATTTGCCCCTCTTATTATCGGGGCAAGTAAAAACGGGCTAATGGAACATGCATTCTAACAAAGGAGATTGCCGCAACGCCTGCAGAGACCGGCCCAAGCTCAACGCATTTCTGCTAAGAACGTGTGATTTTTCTGCGCCACCTTGTGGCCATAAAACAATTCGCCCAAGTGAAAGTTGACCGCTTTTTCCCGCGGCTGCCCAGCCTTCCCGAGAACCGCACTGCGGGAATCGGCCTCCAGACAAACGTGCAGAACATGCTGTCTTCCTTCACAGTCAGTGATGGTAAACAGACTTCCCGTTCTTCCTACTTCCTCCTCCGTTTCCTTTATTCCTTAATTCCATTTCCTCGGCCCCCCAACCACTGTCCTCAGACAGGCGTTTCCCAGTGTGACCTCCTTTTCCAGATGCACCATCCGGCGGCGGCCCTTTTCCCAGCCCGAACCCTCCCGGATCGCCCTCGCAGTCCTCCCTCTGGGTCCCCGCCCCGCCTGCTCCGCCGCAGCGCGCTCCCGCCACACAGGCCCGCCCCTCCCGCCGGCAGCCAATGGGGGCGCGGCCGCGCCCCGCCCCTCCCGCCAGGTCCGGGGGCGCCAGCGGGCTCCGGGAGCCTGGGGCTGCTGAGTTCCTGTCTTCCGTGGGGCTGCGGCGAGACTACGTCCCATAGCCCCGCAGCCCGGCCTCGGGGCAGCCATGGACTCGCAGGAGTTGAAGGTGAGCGGACGGGCGGGGTTCCTTTGCGGGCCGCTGGCTCGGGGGCGCGGAAGGCGCTCGGGTGGCTTTGCTAGGCCGCCGTTTCCCGGCGGTGCCCCGGCCGCCCGAGTTGCAGGGTGGGCCTGCAGCCTCCGCCCTCCGCCGGCCCTGCTGGGAAAGCCCCAGGTCTGGGCAGCCCGCCCGCGCGCTGTTTCTGAATTGCTCGTCCCCGTGCAGTTGGTTGTGTTTACTTTTGCATCATGTTTACTAGGAAAGCTTGGGTTACCTATGACACAGCGCCTCCAGGTGAGACTTTTTAAGGACTTAAGGCAAACTAGTGTCAGCTCCCACACTGGATAGTAAAAAGAGCCCAGAAAGATCATATGCAACCCATTAAAGACGTGAGACTTAAAAATGGAGGAGTCGTTATTTTAGGGTGATCGTCTTCTCTATCACTGACTCATCCATTCAGCAGATATTAATGACAGTCAACTTAAGAAAGGCAGATAAAAAGTTAAAGACACGAGGCTTGAAAATAACTTAGGATGTTGGTCTTCTGTATTCATTTGTTCACTGATTCATTCGTTCAGCAAATATTTATGAAGGGCTTACTGTATGTCCGGGAGAAGCTGGAGATGGCAGTGTGCAAAACTGAACAGTCTCTGCCTTCTCGGATTTTACAGGCTAATTAATGTTGGGGGAAAACCCTAATTCAGCTCATTCAACAAGTATTTATTGAATGCCTCCTACATGTCTAGCACTGTTCTAAGCACTGAAGTAATACAACCAAGAAAAACTCTTCCAAGCTTGGAGCTTACATATGAGTAGGAGGAGTCAGACAAGTAGGTAAATAAAATGTGTATTCTGTGAGATGGTGGTAAGTAGATGGGGGACAATTTGGTAGTGCGAGAGGTTAGGGGATGCTGAAGTGTCTTGTTTTTCTGCCTGAAATTTTACATTATCCTCTGTTCTAGCTATTCTGCCATCCCCTTAAATTTTTTCATACCCTTAAATGTATTCTTTGCACTGCCACCCAAGTGAACTTTTTAATAAAACACTTTAATGTAAAAATGGGACTCCTCATCCCTTAGACGTGAGAATTAAGTCCAAGTACTTAACATGAGGCTCTTTTCACCCCACCTTTCTGTCCAACCTCATCTTCCAATACTCTCTTTTTTTCCGGAGCAGGGAATGGCCAACTTTCTCAACAAAGGGCCAGATAGTACACATTTTAAACTTTATGGGCCATATGGTCTGTCACATCTACTTGGCCATTGTCATTCAAAACAGTACATGTTATAAATGAGCAGACTGACGCATTGTAAGAAGGTCCAGAGATTTAAAGGCAGGTCTTTTTGCCTTTAAATTCGTGTCCTTTTTATGGTGCTATGCCACTGCCTTTCAGGAGGAAAGTATAGATACTTAGTGGTAGTGTACGGAAGGCAAGTAAGAGGTTATTAAACGTGTCCTCAGTTGTGGCAAAGTAAGGGGTCGTTTTGCAACTTTAGGGGCTGGAGCATTGGAGGAAAACTGTGCTTCACTGAGATGTGCTGTGGGGGTCTGGAGATGGAGTATGGATCACATTTTTAAGAAACGTGACTAAAAAAGAGGCTAGGGAGCAGTGACCACACAGAGGAAGGCAGATAAAATTACAGAGACTGGTCTAGAGAAGTAGGTGAACTCTAGCCTGCCAGAAACAAGAGACTATAAAACAGAGCTGTCAGGCGGGTGTGGTAGCTCACACCTGTAATCCCAGCACTTTGGGAGACGCAGGCAGGTGGATCGCTTGAGGTCAAGAGTTTGAGACCAGCCTGGCCAACATGGTGAATGAAACCCCATCTCTACTTAAAACTACAAAAATTAGCCAGGCACAGTGGTGCGTGCCTGTAAGTCCCAGCTTGGGAGGCTGAGGCAGGAGAATCATTTGAACCCAGGAGGCAGAGGTTGCAGTGAGCAGATATTGTACGACTGTGCTTCAGCGTGAGTGACAGAATGAGACTCTGTCTCTAAATAAATAAATAAATACCCCTTCCATGAACACTCCCTTCGTGGAAGCCTGTCTTCTCCTGAGCTCCATCTCTCTCTATTCTCTTCCACTCAGTGTGGAAGCTGTTTCCTCTCCTGCATTCCATCTGTCTGGATTCTCTCACTCAGTGTGAGAGTTAGCTGTTTCTTTCTCTCCCCTTCTCCTGTTTCTCTCTCTCTCTAAATAAATCACTTTCTACAAACAAACAAACAAACAACAAATAAATAAATAAATAAAATAGAGCTGTCTAGACAGCCTTAGATTTCAATCCTGTCAGTCACCTGTATTTCTCACTGCTACTGAACAAGATGTAGAGTCCAGGTAGGATGCTGTGGAATAGCCCAAACTGCTTTCTGGTGAATTAGGTGTATCCTATTAATGGTGGGAAAGTGTGGTTTCTCTCTTTAATGAGGTTAGCAACCAAGCCTTAGACATAATCCTAAGAAAAATGGTAGATAGCACAGGTCCATTTTTATTCAGAAGTTAGTAGCTCTTGATAGTGGTTTTGTCTTATAAATGGAAAGATATAATTTGGAAAAAGCTTAAAGAGAGCCATTTCCATTGAAAAATAGTTTATTTATTTTTAACTGACAATTTGTTGCAGAACTCAAGCCAATTAAGATAACATTTGGTGATAAATTGAAGAATTTAATTTGTCATTACTCTGTAATGCTGTAATAAAATACTGGATATTTAAAAATATGTTCTGGCAGTGGAAGCCTCTTGTCTTTTTTTTCTTTTTTAATTCCTGTTTATTGTCTGCTTTTCTGTTTTCTAAACTATTCAAGAAAATGTGGGCAAAGGAAAAAAGGTGAAAGCAGGCTCATTTCTGTGCTGTTAACAAAAACTTTAGGAAAAAGGATCGAAATTATTAGAAAACATTGAATTATTTTGGTAATTTTATGATCATTCAGTTCTGCAATCTTTAACATTGAGTTCTAGCCATTAACAATATTTTAAGGAACTTGGGAGAAAAAAGTCACATTGCCTGAGTTTTACATTATTCTAGATGTTAGGTTAATATCTGTTTCTTAGAGTAATTCAGAGCACCAGAATTCCTTAATAACATTTTCTCATTATTTCCTTTTAGACTTTGATTAATTACTATTGTCAAGAGAGGTATTTCCATCATGTGTCACTGGTTGCCAGTGAAGGAATTAAGAGGTATGGAAGTGATCCAGTCTTCAGGTTTTATCATGCCTATGGCACATTAATGGAAGGTACGTGCTAATTATTAAATGTGTTTCATCAGTTTTAAATTCTTGCTTTGCACTAAGAACAGTTTTTCATATCATAATCTTGATTTTCAGGTAAAACTCAAGAAGCTCTTCGAGAATTTGAGGCTATTAAAAATAAACAAGATGTATCACTTTGTTCTCTGATGGCACTGATATACGCCCATAAAATGAGTCCTAATCCAGGTATGGTATTTAAGTACAATGCTTAGGACACTTTTCCTATTCAATTCATTTTGATTTTTCTCAATTACCAAGCCATTCAGTCTGATCACACTGTATTGTATATTGTCTGTAGATACAATTTATACATGTGTTTATCTTCCTGACAAGGATATAAATTCATCAGGCACAATAAATGTGTCTTACACTACTTTGGTTTTCCTTATATCCTATGGCAGAGATTTCATTAGTACATAGGGATTTTTTTTTAGTTCACTTAAAGGGGAATGTATATTAGTAATTGTCATACAAAAAAAAGGATAGCCAAAAAAACAGGTACCATATGTACATAAATTGTCCTGCAGCAGCCAAGTTTACAACTTATGTGCAAACATACAGCCAATGTGGTTTATTTCTTCTGTATATTAAGCTTCTTGAGAGCCTTTAAACCCTTTATGAGGGCTAGCTCTTGGAAGATATTCAGTAAATATTTATGCAGTAGTAGGCTGACCAGAGCATGACTAGATTATAGAAGAAACTTTATACCTGAACCAGCAATTAAAGTTGTGTAAACTGCTGGGCACAGTGGCTGAAGCTAGTAATCTCAGGAACTTGGGAGGCTGAGGTGAAGTACTTGAGCCCAAGAGTTTGAAGCCAGCCTGGGCAACATAGTTAGACACTCATCTCTTAAAAAAAACAGAAAATAAAAAATAAAGTTACGCGAACTGTCTTAATGTACAGTTAACTTAATGATGAAGGCAGAGAGTATCCAGATTATCTATAATAAAGGTGAAGTGATGTTATTTTCTTCCATATATATCCAGTAACAGCTAATAGGATTGTAAGTATAGATTGTGTTTTAAATAATTAGATAAACAAAGGTCATGGACTGGTTCCTTGAATATTAGAAAAGTCTTTTTAAAGCCAACCATGACATACCTCCTTCATGCACAAATCAATACAAAGTTATTTAAAACGTGTAAATATGTGCTTAATTTCTTTAAGACACCATGCCTAATCCTGTTAGATAATACTAATGAATTGTGATAAGTGGTCCATGACATCAAGTTGGTAATCTAGTGGAGAAAACAAAATTTAAAAACCACAAATATTAAATTCTAATGTTTCTATTAAATATAAAATGAAACAAATGAGTTTTTAATTAATTGAAGTTGATATGCACTATTAAACTGTAAGAGTAGGCTGAGAAGGCTTTCTGAAAGTTTGGAACTTAATCTGATCTTTGAAGGACAGGTAGAATTTGAATATGAGGAGAGTCCACCAGAGAGGAGAAATGGATGGGCAAATACATGGAAGTGGCTCAGGATTAGGCTCTTCTGTGGATCATTAGTACACAGGGATTTTTTTCTCCATGCTCCAGTGGGAGTCTGTTTAGTTAGAGCAGAGAATTTTCATGGGAGAGCTGTAGTCAGTAAGTCTAAATAAAAGAAATTAGCACAAAATAATTTCTTTTTAGAATCAAGTTTTTATTTAATTGGTTATTCTTACAGTGTTGATTCTGTTGGAAACTGTGATTTCCAGGACACTGATGGAGTCAGAAATACTGTTCAGAGGCACCTTAGTGCTAACTCTGCTTTGCACCAAAAATGATGCCTAATGGACTTGAGCTCTAGTAGGGGCCCAGATGTCTGTAAATACTGCCTAGGAAAGTCGTAGATTGTTAGCGTACATTCTTCCAGAATGCTGATGTAAGCCCTGCTTATAAAAAGGCTTAAATCTGGCAACAGCTTTATTCAGACAGTGTTATAGCTGATTGATACCTCATTAGGGATGTGATAGAAATCTGAGTAGGAAAGATTTCCTGTACAATGTCTGCTCCTGCCCTGATTTTTTTTTTTTTTTTTCTGTTTCTGTGTAATGACTGTTTACTGAACACTTTTGAAGGGATTGGAGGGGTGGGGAGTTGGGAGAGAAGAAACGGGTCTTCTTGCTAAGCAATCTGTAGACTTAGAGAAGCAGCTGTGTTTCCTTAACTCATTAGATTGTACCTTGTTAATTCCACATTTAAATTTATATCATTAGAGTTAAAAGGAAGAGTCACATACCTTTCTCCGTGATAGACATTCCAGAAAGATAGAACAGTTAGAATCACAGGCCTCAACGTACATTTCTTCTTCCTCATTGCATAGCTGATTTTGATTCTGATTCCATCCAGGATGTGGGTATGATTGACTTCTGTGTCCTAAGCAGATACTCATATATATAGAAAGTAAATAGATTTAATGTAAGTGAATAGCATTATCCATTTAGGGAAGCAGTCAGTATTAAACTATATAAGTAACAGCAATTATGCTATCTTTTTACTGGCCCATAGCAATAGCTGGCATGTTTATGTATTTTAGAATTGCATTTAAGAAGTATTAATACTTTGAGTGCTAATATTGGAACTGTTCCTAACAATTGTGGTTAGAAATATTATACATTTTTATAAGTCTTCTTATAAAAAAGATAGCACATATCCTTTCTATTTGGGGAAGGATGTAAACTCTACAGCTATATTGTGCATTACAGTGATCCTTAACCATATACAGATTTTTTTTTTTTTTTTTAAGATGGAATCTCTTCTGTTGTGCAGGCTGGAATGCAGTGGCATGATTTTAGCTCTCTGCAACCTCCACCTCCTGGGTTCAAGCAATTCTCCCTGCCTCCGCCTCCCACGTAGCTGGGATTATAGGCACCCACCACCATGCCCGTCTAATTTTTTTGTATTTTTAGATTGGGTTTCAGCATGTTGGCCAGGCTGGCCTCAAGCTCCTGACCTGAGGTGATCTGCCCACCTCGGCCTCCCAGAGTGCCGGGATTACAGGTGTGAGCCACTGTGCCTGGCCATATACAGCCTTTTTAGCGAGTTTGAGGAACTGAATTTGAAATTTTATTTAATTCTAATTAATTTACTTTTTAAATTTAAAAGTGACACTTGATTCAGTTATCAGAAAACTTATGTTTGGAATAGCTTGAGTCTAAATATCTGCTTTTCAGACAGAAGTTTTATGAAATCTAAGTACAAATCAACTATTTCTGAATAAAATTTAGCATCTTAATTCAGATGTGCTTTTAGTATGAAATACCAGATTTCCCAATTAGTAAGAAAAAAGAATGCAAAACATCTCATGAAGTTTTATATCGATGATGCATTGAAATTATATCTTAGATATATTGGGTTATATAAAGCATCAAGATTAATTTTACTTGTTTCTTTCTGTTTCTTTGATAGGGCTACTAGAAGATTTTAAGTTACCTATATGGCTTGCATTTTATTTCTGTTAGACAGTACCACTATGGAGAGAAGTAAATTATTTGCCTTGTTAATCATCTGACCTATTATAAATACCTGATCCAGAATTTAATTTTTATTTAATATCATTTTCCCCTCCCAGATAGAGAAGCTATTCTGGAATCAGATGCCAGAGTGAAGGAGCAACGTAAAGGAGCTGGAGAGAAAGCTTTATACCATGCAGGCTTATTTTTATGGCACGTTGGTCGCCATGATAAAGCGAGAGAATATATTGACAGAATGATCAAAATGTCAGATGGCAGTAAACAGGTAACTATTTCTCTGATTGTAAAATAATAACATTAAAAGATGCTTATGTTATTGATATATCAAGTAGTATCTGTGATTTAGTTCTTTGTTATTGTCCACTCTGGTGCCACTATATAAATAATGGCTTTATTTTAACCCATTTACGATTATCAAGTGGTTAATAGTGTATTTACTGTAGAATAGGGATTCTCTAAGGTTAGTTTTATGCTACTAATCCTCCCTGGTTCCTTCCCTCTGTTTTTCTCTTTCTTTTTCTCTCCCTTTTCCTTCCTTCCCTCCATGTTTTATTCTTTCCTTTCCTCCCTCTCTCCTTACTGAACAGCTCCAGATACAAGGCACCATTATCTGTACGATTAATAATGCAAAGGAAAAGAATACCTAAACTTTGCTTTTGTGAATGAATAATTGAGCAGAGGCATAGAGCATCTCCTCGGCTAATATTGTGAGAAAAATGATAGATGATAGGCAAGAGATGTGACTAAGTTGTGCAAGAAAATAATAGATAACATTTATTGGTTGCTTACTTTGTGCTAGGCACTATTTTAAATTAAGGAGAGATCATGCGTATAAGTGTTAAGAGAATGTGAAAGAATTTTTTTGAAGGAAGTAGCATTTGAGCTAAAACCTGAAAGATGAATACAATTTCAACAGGTAAAGATTATGGAAAAGCAAAGTAGATACTCCCAAAGTGAGAAATAATAGATGGAAATGAGACATGTTACTTCTGGGTACACTGAGATACTCATATTTGATGGAACACAGGATACAAAGATAACGAGGGTGGAAGGAAAGCTTAGAGAGGTAGATTGAGACAAATTGAAGGGTCTTGACAGCTAGTTACAAATATTTGCACCTGATTTGACATGCATGGAGAGGCTGTTGAAGACCTTTAATCATGGTACTGATTTTATTAGGGTGCAAATCCAAAAGATTCATATAACAATGGTTTCTAGAATGAAGTGGCTTGAGGTTAAACTGGAATGAATGCAGCAAAAAGAAAAAGATAGTACTTTCTTGCAGAAGGTTTTGAGGCACTACACTAAAATATTGTACAGTGAGTATAAAGTTCAGAATTTTTAAATACTGACAGGACCTGTGAACGGATAATAAATAGTTGGGAAAGATAACAAGTTGTCACGTATTAGTATATCGTTGAGGCATTAAGCCTAAATAAATTAGAGACCAGTTAACATAATTAGAAAATACATTGGCATAAGAAGCTAATCATAAGGGAGGTGATATATTTGACTTAAGACATGCTGTATTTCTGGTGCTGGCAGAACAGTAAGATGGAGATAGCAGATTAATTTCTGGAAAAATAAAAATTTAGAAAAGGTTTTGGGCTAGAAATATAGGTTGGAAATGATCCACACACAGACAATAGTTAAAATCACTCAAATAGTGGCACTGATTTAGTACATAGCATTGGTTAAGATTCTTATCTGTGTTTTCAAGTGAAATACAGGGAGATAAATATAATCTTAGTTAAAGATTTATAAATTGGTCAATTAACCTAGATTTTTTTAATAGAAGGGCATATTACACAGTTTTTTATTTGACCTTAAGCAGAAAGATAACTAGTTTGCATATTCTTTTCAATCATATAGGTCTTACAACCCATGGGCCCACTAACGTGAAAAGATAAATATCCATGAGTTATTCAGTTTTTAATTTCTCAGGTCATTGACCTGCCATTTGAAATTCAATGGACTAATCAAAGAGATTAAGAAAATGGTTGCCAGAATATATGAATCTTTAAGATATGCGAAGCAAGACATTTTCTGTTTTTCATTTTAGTTCATTTAGGCTGTTTGTCCAAAAAGAGACAACAAATACTCATGTATATATTGAATTACATGTTTAACCATTATTAATCGTCAATTACTAGCAGAATCTCAGAGAAAAGTAATGGTTTTAACACTAATGAAATATTTGATAAGCATCTTAATTTTAATATTGAGCTCAATAGTAATGTTAAAGGCTGAAATTTGTAGTATAATTCCCAAGACAGTAGGCTGGCAAGGGTTCAAATGTGATTTCACTAACAGAATTTTATTGTTCATAACATTATTTGATATAGTCCTTTTTGCTATTAATTGCCAAAAAATGACATTAGGCTCTTTATTAAGATTTATTTCTTTCATTTCTAAAAACGTAAAAATAGAATTTTTTATTTTACAGGGACACATTTTGAAAGCATGGCTTGATATTACAAGAGGAAAAGATGCTTACACTAAAAAAGCACTGAAGTATTTTGAAGAGGGACTCCAAGATGGGAATGATACTTTTGCTCTGCTGGGTAAGGTGAGTTGGAGCTAAGGTAATAAATCATGCTTCAAATTTTATTCATAATATATTTGAAACCTGACAAAACCAAGTAGCTCAAAAAAGTTGATTAATTTTCATGATACTATTGTCAGCTCACAGTTGTAAGGGGACTTGCATTTGTGCAGGACAATGAGCAATACACTAGAGAAATATATTCCCTGCCAAAGTTCCTAAATCCTGGATCAGCTGTAACCATTATTATTGTTTTATTTCATACATTCTTTCCTCAGCATTTATTGTATGTCTATGTATGTGAAGCATCACTCTCGATATTAGAAACCCTGAGCAAGACAAAACCTCTTGTTTTTATGGAGCCTATATTCTACTGATAGAGACAGACAATAAACAAAATAAGTAAGTAAATTATGTAGTATATTGGAAGGTGATAAGTACAATGGAAAATAAATGCAGCAGGAAAAGCTGGAGGGCATGAACTTCCAATTTTACATGAAGTGGTCAGAGAAAGTGACATTTGAGCGAAGACATTTAAGGAGGTGAGGGTTAAAGCCCTGTGGGCATTGGGGAAAGTATTACAAATAGAGGAGATAATGAGTTCAGACAACTTAAGGAGTGTTCAGGAGGCCCAAGTGGGATGAGCCAAGAGAACAGAAGTGAAGGCCTGAGGAAGAAAGGTGGGATGGGGGTTAGGAGGAGTGGTGGGCCTGTTCTGTAAGGCCTTTGGCCTCTACCTTCAATTAGAGAAACAGGCAACCAATACAAAGTTTTGAACAGAGAAATAACATGATGGGACATACGTTTTAAGTGATGAGCAATTGATGCAGTCATTAGAACTCAGCAAAGGATGGAAATATTTAAGTAGGACTTTTTCTTCAATCCCTATTAATGCTTTCTAAATGCCTTAAAATTTTTTTAAAATTATTTTGACTCAGCAAAAAGCAATTAAGTTTATATGTTAATTTAAGTAAATTTATATGTTGATGTAATAGACAACGAGGATTCGTGTCTTGACTTGTGTTAATGTCCCCACATCACTTTTCCTGTCACTTTGCATGGACAGTGAGCCTATAGAACATAATTGTTCAGACCCACCACCCTCAGGTTTTACCTGATAGCACTGCTGTAGAAATTGGCCATACCTTTTTCTTGATCATTTTCTTTCTCTTAAAGAAAAGCTAGTTGATAAAAATGTGCCTCATCATCTCTTTTTAATGTACCAACTATATTTGCAGCTTTATTTTTTCTATGAAAGTAGTACATGAACATAGTAAAAAAAATTTTTCAGAAAATGCAGTAAAACCTGAATGAGAAAATGAACATCACTATTGGAAATAACCAGTTACACTATTATGTATAATATCTCCTCATGTCAGTAAATATACAGCTACAAATTTATATCATCATTTTTGATGATAACTAAAGATTTTATTAAATAGATATACTATGATTTTGTCCTCTAGGTCCATTTGGGATTATTTTATACATAAACAATTCTACCATAAATATCATCTATATACTTCCTTGTGATCTGCTCTACTTATTTCCTTCAGATAATTCATAGAAGTGAAAATGTTGAAGTAGAGGGATTTGTTTGAACTTTATTTTTCTTGTTCTTTTTGTTCTTTAAAATCGCATATTCTTTAACCTGAAAATAATTTCTTAAAAAAGATGCAAAATTTCTAAAATTTCAGATGCTACTTAAAAATTTCCTGGAAACATTTTAATCTAAAAAGATAATTTTCCTGTTCTAAATGGGAACATTATTTTATGGTGTTTCCAAGAACATTTTAAAAAAATTTTATCCTTTCATCACAGTTTTCAGCCATTTAAAAGTAAATTCTAAAACACAATAGCTTATATAATTTATTTGTATTATTCTGTAATGTTTTAAAATTTTGTTTTGACAAAAACTTTACTCCTCACAGAAAAGTCAGCAAATATTAAATGCTCATATCCTGCCTGCTCTGTGTTATGAAAATTTTGATATGAAAGATCGTAGTTTTGATATCACTGTTTTTTTTTTCCTTCCATTAGGCACAATGCCTGGAGATGAGGCAGAATTATTCAGGTGCTCTGGAGACTGTGAACCAGATAATCGTGAACTTTCCCAGCTTCCTTCCTGCCTTTATTAAGAAAATGAAGTTACAACTAGCCTTGCAGGATTGGGACCAGACAGTTGAGACAGCACAAAGGTTAAGTAAAAAAGATGACACAAGTTGGATTTAGTTATAATTTTGAGAAAATCAAAATCTATGTGTATTTTTTGTCATAAGATTTTTTTTTAATCTGATTTTTTCAAACAGTATGGAACTGAGGAAATACTTAAAATTATACTGCTTTTAAACATTGAATTTATTATTTTACATACATATATGATTCCTCTTCTAAGACAAACACTCTTTTTAGGCAAACAGGCCAATATCCCTGTGGTCATAAAGCTTATATTCAAGTGAGAGGAACCAGATACTAAGCACACCAAATAAGTATATTTTATAGTATGTTAGAAAGTATAAGAGCTGTGGGGAAAAGATAAACCAGGAAAGAAATAGGGAGTGTTGAGGGGTTCAGTCTTATGAGGTGGTCACGGAAGGCTGAGACCTTTAGGAGTAAGCCATGCAGGTATTTGAGAGAAGACTTTGCAGAAAGAAGGAAAAGCAAATGCAGAGTCCCTGAGGCAGGAGCACAAGCCATGTGTTTGAGGAGTGGGGAGGAGTAAGAGAGGTGAGTAGGGTGTGAGGTCAGAGACAAGGTTGGGAGAGAGTCCATGCTAGATGGTGAAGGGTCTTGTTAGCCATATAAGGATTTGGGGTTTTCTTCTGAGACACGAGGTCATTGGAGGGTTTTGAGCAGAGGAGTGCCGTAATCTAAATTCTATTTTAAAGAATCACTCTGCCATGTGCAAAACAGACTGTGGGTGAGCAGGCAAAGGCAAAAGCAGGGAGAGTGTTTTGAGAGCTGTTTGCCATTCTTGAGAAATGCTGGGGATTAGCCCCAGTATAGTTGTGGTGGAAGTGCCTTGAGAAATGATTGGAATCTAGACCTATAGTGTTTTGTTTAGAAAAGTAAGAGAAAGAATAGTTGAAGGTGATTCCAAGGTTTTTGGCCTGATTGAACTACTAGAATAACAACAACAGTGATGATGTTGAACTGTTGTAAAGCATTCAGAGTGCCTGGCTCATAGGAAGTGCTGTTTATTCCTAGAGTAACCCCAAGAGGAAGGCACTATTCGTATTTCTGTTTTACAACTGAATGGACTAAGGCACAGAGAGGTTAAGAATTTTCTCCAGAACCACAGTTACTTTGTGGTGGAGTCAGGATTCAAATGCAGAGTACTCTAGTCCCAAAGTCTGTGCTCTTACATACTACTTATACTAGAGGATGGAGTTGGCTTCAGCTGGACAGGGAAATTATGGAAAAAAGAAGGTTTCAGGGCAGGTAAGGAGTTTAGCTTTGAACATTATAAGTTTGAAATGCCTATGAGAAGTGAAAGTAGAGATGGATGTATGAGCAGGCAGGTGGATGTCTGAATCTGGAGTTCTCACAAGACCTCTAGGCTGTAGCTATATTTCAGAGTCACTGACTCAGAGATGTAATTTAAAGCCGTAAGACTGAGAATAAATGTATTTGCATCACATATCAATACTTTCTGACTAACAGATGAGTTCGTGTCACTTAATACTGAAATTACAGGAAAGTAAATTTCATGGGTGATGCAAATATACCTTTAAAATCAGAATGTCTTAATAGAACTTCTCATGCAGACATTAGCAGGCTCCTTTCAAGATACAAATGAGCCGGGCGTGGTGGCTCACGCCTGTAATCCCAGCACTTTGGGAGGCCGAGGCGGGTGGATCACGAGGTCAAGAGATCGAGACCATCCTGGTCAAAATGGTGAAATCCCGTCTCTACTAAAACTACAAAAAATGAGCTGGGCATGGTGGCGCGTGCCTGTAATCCCAGCTACTCAGGAGGCTGAGGCAGGAGAATTGCCTGAACCCAGGAGGCGGAGGTTGCGGTGAGCCGAGATCGCGCCATTGCACTCCAGCCTGGGCAACAAGAGCGAAACTCCGACTCAAAAAAAAAAAAAAAAAAAAAAAAAAGATACAAATGAAGTATAAGTTGCATGGAAAGTCCCCTTTACTTTGGGTTAGATCAAGGTTTATAGTCTTAGAATCTTCAGAATAAATGACTTGCATGCATGTTATTTTTATCCATATCTGACAAAATATTATTTGCTATCTCAGGGCCTAACGTCTTGGTATTGGTAGCATCTTTGCTAAGATTGTCTATCATTTATTATGGAGAGTTTCAGATTTATGTAAAAGCAGGCAGAATAGCCTCATGAAGTACTCTTACCTGTTTCCTGCCTCTAGCTACCATCACCACATGACTAAACCCCCATTTGCTTCCTGTCTTTAATTTTCAGTTTGAAGCAAATTAAAAATTCTGCATCATTTTATTTGTAAATATCAAGATGGATTAAAAAAATAGCATAATTCTTTTCCCTCTACAACATAATGACAATATCATTATCACATTAAAAAAGTTAAAAATAGTTTCTTAATATCAAATATCCCCTGTTCAAATGACCAGTATTCTCAAATATTGTGTTTTTTTAAATAAATTATTTATTAATCAGGATCCAAATAAGTCCACATGTTGTTACTGGTTTATATCTTTAAAGTCTCTATGTTCCCTGTCAGTCTCTGTAAGTTCCATCTTTCACACTCTTTCTTTCTCTGCCCCTTCCTGTCTCTCTCCTTCCCCTCTTCCCTCTCCCTTCCTCCCTCTTCCCTCTCCCTTCCTCCCTCTTCCCTCTCCCTCCCTCCCTCTTCCCGCCTTCTTTTCTATTTCCCTTCTCTTTTTCTTCTTGCTGTGTTTTTTAAGTTAAAGAAACTAGTGTTTTGTCCTGCAGCGTTTTCCATGATCTACATTTTGTTGTTTGTCTGTTATGATGTAGTATAACTTGTTGCTTTTTCTTGTATTTCCTGTAAGTTGGTAGTTAGATCTAGAGGTTTGGTTAAATTCACATTCAATTTTGTTGTTTCGGCAGTTACTTCATGAGTGGTACTGTTGTCTTCCGTCACAGTGACAGAATGTCTACTTCTCTCTCTCTTTGTGGTAGCAGCAGCCATTCATGCTCAATACCTAGGTGTTTGGCTCATAGGGATTATAGTAGGGGTACATTTGAATTCTATCATTCTTTTTTTGGTAGAATACCTATATTAGAAATATTAGAATACCGATATAGCTAGAATACCTATAAAGAAAAACATATCTCCTGGTGAGTTACTGAGTGGTATAGTTCATATAAGAAAAGTACGATAAAATACTTGAGTCTTTTCCTTAATTTCCAGGTTTCAAAAGAGAAAAATACCAAAAATTGCTTAGCATCCTCCAGTGGTAATTGATTATGGCTCGGGCTTGTTTGTTTTACATGCCATGGATTTAGATGAGTGCTTCTGGACATTTCAGTCGTTATAATTGCAGTCTTATCTCTGACAATTAGGAGCTTCTTCAAGTTGTTCTTAAGTCCTTTCGACATGATCCTAGTAGTCTTTGATAGTTACTTTGCCACTTGGTATGACAAGCTGTCCTGGCTCATTTTGTGTATTACTTCCCCAAGTAGGTGTCAGTCATTTGTCCAGGGCAATCTAATCTCTTTTAGTGTGAAATGATATTTGAAGGCCACAATTTGGGCACTAGTAATTTTTTGATGTATATATATCTTTCAAGATTTTTTGTAGGCAGAGTGTGTGTTTGTGTGTGTGTGTGTGTGTGTGTGTGTGTGTGTGTGTGTGGTTTCTATATATTTTTAAAAATATATATTGAGGGTGTTTCGAAAATAAAAAATGGACTCATAATGTACTTTTAAACTTGTTTTTCTCTTTGAGAGTATTTAATAGATATCATTTTATAGCTATTCACATAGATACACCAAATATTTTTTAATAGACTGTATTTTTAGGGTAGTTTTAGGTTCACTGCAAAATTGAACAGAAGGTACCAAAATTTTCCATATAGTCCTTGCCCCCACACATAGATAGTCTGCCCAATTATCAGCATCTCCCACCAGAGTGGTACATTTGTTACAGTTGATGAATTTACACCATAGTCACCCAAAGCCCATCATTTATATGACAGTTCACTTTTGGTGTTGTACATTCTAGTGGTTTGGACAAATGTAATCACATGTATCCAACATTGTAGTATCATACAGAATATTTCTACGACCCTAAAAATTCTCTTTATAGTGTATTCCCTGTGTATCCCTCCATCTCCCCAACTCCTTGGCAACTACTGTTCTTTTTACTGTCTTTATAGTTTGGCCTCTTCCAGAATGTACTATAATATGTAGTCTTTTCAAATTCGTTTCTTTCATTTAGCATTATGCATTATTTAATCTTCTTCCATGTCTCTTCATGACCTGATAGCTCATTTCTTTTTAGTACTGAATAATATTTCATTGTTTGGATGTACCACAGTTTATCCATTGAAGGACATCTTGATTGCTTCCAAGTTTTGGCATTTATGAATAAAGCTACTATAACCTTGTACAGGTTTTTGTATGGACATCAGTTTTCAACTCCTTTGGATCAAATACCAAGGAACATAATTGCTGAATCATATGGTAAGAGTATATTTAGTTTGGTAAGAAACTGCCAAACTGTCTTCCAAAGATGTTGTACCATATTATATTCCCACCAGCAATGCTTGAGAATTTCTCTTGCTTTAAAACATCCTCACCAGCATTTGATGTTGCCAGTGTTTTTGATTTTGGCCATTCCAATAGGTTTGTAGTGGTATCTCATTGTTATTTTAATTTGCATTTCCTTGATGACATGACATGGAACATTTTTTAATATGCTTATTTACAATCTGTTTACCTTGTTTGGTTAGGTGTCTGTTAAGGTCTTTGGCCCATCTTTTAATTGGATGTTTGTTTTCTTATCGTTGGATTTGAATAGTTCTCTGCATATTTTGGAAAACAATCCTTTATCAGATATATCTTTATCTGATAAATATTTTCTCCCAGTCTGTGGCTTGTCTTTCACAGAGCAGAAGTTTTTAATTTTAATGAAGTCCAGCTTTTCAACTCTTTCTTTCATGAATTATTCCTTTTGTGTTATATCCAAAATGTCATCAAACCCTAGGTCATCAGATTTTCTCCTGTATTATCTTCTAGGAATTTTATAGTTTTCTGTTTTACAGTTAGGTCTGTGATCTCTTTCGGATTAATTTTTGAGAAGAAGGTGAAGTCTGTATCTATATCCATTTTTTTCCATGTGGATGTCCAGTTTTTCCAGTGCCATTTATTGAAAAGAGTGTCTTTTCTTCATTGCATTGTCTTTGCTTTTTGTCAGAGATCAGTTGACTGTGTGGGTCTATTTCTGTGATTTCTACCCTGTTTCATTCATCTGTTTGCTCTTTCACCAATATCACACTATTTGTCTTGATTACTGTAGCTTTGTGGTAAGTCCTGAGGTCAAGTAACGTCAGACCTGTAACTTTGCTCTTTTCCTCCTTCAATAAAAACTAGTTATTCTGGGGGTTTTCGCCACTCTATGTAAACTGTAGAATACGTTTGTCAGTATCCACAAAATAACTTGCTGGGATTTTGATTGGTATTGCATTGAGTTAGTTTATAGATCAAATTGGGAACTAACATATTGTCTTTGCATCTATAATATGGAATATCTCTCCCTTTATTTGGTTTTTCTTTGATTTCTTTTATCAGAATTTAAAAATTTTCCTCACAAACGTTTTGTACATTTTTTGTTAGATTTGTATGTACCTAAGTATTTCACTTTAAGGAGTACTAATGTAAATGTTGTGTTTTTAATTTCAAATTCTACTTGTTCATTGCTAGTACATAGGAAGGCAATTGATGTTATATATTAACCTCATATTCTACAGTCTTGCTGTAATCACTTGTTAATTCCAAGAGTTTTTAAAATTGATTCTTATAGATTTTCTACATAGATGTTCATGTCATCCGTGAACATCTATTATTTCTTCCTTTCCCTGATCATTTTAAGACTGAGTAGCATTCTGTGAATTGAAAACACAAATAATTTATTTACCCTTTCCCCACTGGCAAGCACTTAAGATATTGTATTTGTTAGGGTAGGCTAAGCTGCTACAAAAATAGATCTAAACATGTAATGATTCAATGTAATAGAAAAATTTTCCCCATATGTAACTGTTTTGGGTAAATGTTACAAGTTTTCAGGCAGCTTTCCTCCACACTTTTTTTAATGGACCTAGACTCCTAGACTCTTTCCATCTTGCAATCTGCCATCTCCCAAGACCTCATAACAGCTGGCAGAAGGGGAAAGATAATTTAGAGAAGTCATTCCACTTTTTATAGAAGCCCAGGCCCAGAAATGGCATACATTATTTTATTTCATGTTGACCATGTCTAACTGCAGAGATGTCTAGGAAGTGTTGGCTAGCCACGTGCCCAAGCAAATAAGGAGAGAATGGATTTGAGGAGGCAAATTGTAGTCTCTGCCTCAGGTATATTATTTTAAATTTTTGATAGGCACTGCCAAATTGCTCTCTTAGGAAACTGTACTAATTTACACTCCTACCAGTAGGCTATTGAATGTTCCCTTACCTTATCCTCACCAATTCTGGCTATTTTCAATATGTGTATTTTTGATTTTGTTTTTTAAGCAATCTGAGAGATATCTTATTTTTGTTTTTATTTCTTTTATTGTGTTGAGATTGAGCAACTTTTCACCTGCTAAAAGCTATTGTTTTTCTTCAGTATATGACTGGTTCTAAGTATGCCTTTTTTGTTGTTGTTCCAAGTGAGCCTATTCTCTCCTCAGTTTCAGATGGACTCTGATAATTTTTCTAACAAGTTCTGTATCCTCTCTCTCTCTCTTTCTTTCTCTCTCACTTTCTTTCTTTTCTTTTCTTTTTCTTTCTTTTTTTTTTTTTTTTTTTTTTTTTTGACAGTCTTGCTCTGTCACCCAGATTGGAGTGCAGTGGTGTGATCTTGGCTCACTGCAACCTCTGCTTCCCAGGTTCAAGTGATTCTCATGCCTCAGCTTCCTGAGTAGATGGGATTACAAGGCACCCATCACTATGCCCAGCTAATTTTTTGAATTTTTAATAGAGACAGAGTTTCACGATGTTTCTCTTATAACAGTTCTGTTGGCTCTTTTTTTTGCTCTTGACTGTCATAATCAGTTTACAAAGTAAAGAAAAAAAAAGATACTATAGAAAATTTTGATTTGCATTGCATTAAATTTGTTGTCATTTGTGGGGAAAAAGAAAACTGTTTCTTAACCAAAACTGAGCATCATTATATCAGGTAGCTATTGATGTATAGCAAACAACCACAAATGTCAGGACATGCAATAGTAAGTATTCTTTCCTCACATTTGTGTGGGTCATCGAGGGTCTGCTGATCTCAAGCAAGGCTTGGCTGGGGCCCCGCTTCAGTTCAGATCCAACTGGGTGAGTGTGGCACATCGTTGCAGTTTGGGCTCTTGTCATCTCCCAGAGTGTTTTCCCCTGGACTCATGAAAAGAGGCAGCTGCTACTCAGAGGAAATCATTCTCATAGTGATAGCAGGTGCAAGATAACAAGCAGAAATATGCATTGCCTCTGAAATTTAGGCTGGTACACTGCTATTCCTGCCCACATTCCATTTGTGAATGTAAGAAAAATGTCCAAGTCCCTAGTCAAGGAGCAGTAGGGTACACTCCAACTTTTGTAGTTAGTTTCATGGCAGAAGACACATACTCAGGGAGGGTTGAAAAACTGGAACCAGTAATTGAGTGTACCATATCATCCATGATAAGAAGCCTAGGGTGTTACCTTTTTGGTTCAGTTCTTTTTTAAAATGCCCATGAATACAGTTTCATGGGAATTTTATAGCTTTTACACGTTTCTTAAGTTCATGCTTGTTATTTTTTTCTTTTTGGTTTTTGTTCCATTTATCAATAGGATTTCTTAATGTAACATTTCTTATTTGTTTCTATCACATAGGAATCTGTTGCTGTGAGTAACATTAGTAGGTGTTGTAATGTTCTACCCAGGTTTGCATTCCTGGAATTCCTGTAATAGATCAACCTGTTAAGGTGAATTATTCTTTTACTATACTGTTGTGTATAGTTAGCTAATACTTTACGTAGGATTGCTACAATATTTAATGAGATTGCTACAAGATTTAACCTATTCATATCTTTAAAAAATATATTAAAAATTAAATTCCAGAGACTTTTTGTTGTTTAAATAATAAAGTTGATAATTTTCACAAAGCAGATGACATTTTACTAATGAAAATTACTTATTTGAACAGTGGAATAGTGAGGCAAGGAAACCAACTTTTCATGCCCTCAAATAAAAGAAAATATATAAAGTTGTTTCAACGTTAACTAAAATGTTTTCCTGCAGGTTGCTGCTCCAAGATAGCCAAAATGTGGAAGCACTGAGAATGCAGGCACTCTACTATGTGTGTAGGGAGGGGGATATAGAGAAGGTAAGTGGCATTGTATTATTTAAGTGTCTTATATTTAAAAATATATTTCATTACACATACAGGTGTACATGTGCGTATACATTAAAGCCTTGAAGTTCTCTTTTAGAATGTATATCATGGTAGTTTTTAGTTGATTACTAGACTATTCCTTAACAAGGAGGTCAGCTTCTGAAACCTATTTGTAAAGCAAAAATATTACACAGTTAAAATTACCCTTGAAAATGCCTTAAGTCATTAATCATAGGTTATTTGGTTTTCTGTATGAAACTCCTGTGTAGTGATATATATGATTAATGTAACCAGTGACACTAGATATGAAAAAGTATGTATGCAAAATGTAATTTATAGTATATTTACAATTTAACTGAATTTGCAAAAGTTAAATGCGCTTAGGATAAAATCCCATTGTACCTTATAATAAAGTACATCTGTTTCTGTAGTAGTAAACACATTGACTGTAGATTGGATCATGGAGTGCTAAACTGTAATCTGAAAGAAATAGTATAACATGTAGTAGATTTGCGTTGTGTTTAATGTGGTTAAATTGGTTAATGTGACAGTGCCTAATAGATAGTTCAGTAAATACTAGGAGAATCTTAGTAGGGGTAAATCTTCAGTAAATTTTCCAAGCATTGAAATTACTAACTCTAAGTACTGTAATGATTTTTCTGTTCTAAGAAGTATTTTGACTAGAAACTAGTCTATATAGGCAATTCAAGGACTGATCTCATATGATTTGTAAATTCATTATTATTTGTATCTCATTTGTGTCATGAATTAACTATTGGAGGGGGAGCTGGGCATGTACAGTTAATGGAATATTATGGGCGGCTTTACCTATTCAAAGGTTTCCATTCAATAACAAGCGTTAAAGAAACACATTCTGAAATGTATTTGTAATTATTGAGTTTGTTAGAACCTGAAATATGTTGTATAACGCATAATTACCCATTGGAGGAGGAAGAATCTATAAAAGCAAATGTCTTTTAAAATACTAGTTGTGTTATACTTTGTTAGTGTATATGTGCATGTATTATGTTGTTTTTTCTTAGTGTATTTTAAAATTAATACCAGTCACTTTTGTTTTAGGCTTCCACTAAACTGGAAAACCTGGGAAATGCATTGGATGCCATGGAACCACAGAATGCTCAACTTTTCTATAACACTACCCTCGCCTTCAGCAGAACTGTGAGAGTGCCTACCATGTACCAAAGCTCTGTTATCTACAGTAGAGGACATAAAATAAGTGGAAAAGGTGGAGGCAGGGAAGAGCATATGGCCTAGAGTACAAATATGTATTTAAATATATGGTATATTCCTAAGAATGGCAGTTCAGAGGAGGCGTGGTTTCTAACTGTAAGAAGCCCTGATGGAGGCTTCATGGAGGAAATGCCACGTATTGATCTTTTAAGTGTAGCAAAGTGCCCTCCAGGCAAAGGAAATAGAAGGTGGTTTATTTTCATTAGAGCATAAGGTTTATGACCAGGATTGCTCTTAGCTTTTATTTTTTAAAACTCTTTTTTACAAAAAGTTTTAAAGTGTTTAAAAGACCATTTTGGTGGAGGAAATGGTTGGTATCTTATTTATTTATTTTTTTTGACATTAGGAAAGAAATGTTTTTATTATAAGCTCCCAGTAAAAGGAAGGTAATCAAGAATGAAATAGAAAAATACGGATCTTGAAATAGAATCTTGAAATCAATATAGGAAATGCGAATATTGAAAAGGTAATTAAACTAGCAAAAAATAGGGTAAAAGATACACATAAGAAGGTTAAAATAATTAGCAAGCATAAAGCTGAAAGAAAAATATCAAGGGTATTAAGTGATATGAATATACTGAATTTTCTTATTTAAAAACAAAGATATCGGATTGTGTAAACTTTGGAGGAAGAAAACTCCCTGCTATTTTTAGCTTACCATATTGCTAGACACACTATTTTGATTAGTTTTTTACTAGGTTTCTAAAAATTATATAAGTTGGTTCAAACATTTTCTGAATAAGTATTTTACTCTTAAAAGTCTTGTCTTGAAAAGTTATTTACTTCTAATAACACTGCTATTTCTTGAAATTTTTTCAAGAAGATTCTGAGGCACCATCTTTTAAAATATTCTCATTGGTGACACAACTAGTGTTTAGAGAGAAAACAGATCCTAGTCCTGGTTTTTATTCAATAAGAAAAAAACATACATATGTTATACACACACTCACACACATACATGCATACAAATGTAGCCTTAAAATAATGATTTTCTTGTTCAATCTGTAACACAATCATGGAACAGCTTGGAAAAGAAGTTCAAAAAGTTATGTTTGTGCAGTGACATCATTAGAAGTATACTTTTCATACTGGTTATTTCGTAAAAGCAACCTATTAGGATATATAAGTTCTGATAGAATATAAACTCTTTCTTGATGCATTGTCTAGGTAGTTAATAGAAAAGTTTTATTTTTCCTTAATTATTAATATTTTTCTTTTTTTGCCACCCCTGTGAAGTACAAATAATATATATATATAGAAAAAATAATCTTTCAGTGTCAGTAGAAATGTTTGACTTTGAAATATTTCATATGTAATTTATTTTTTCTTTTTAGTGTGGACGTAGTCAACTCATTCTTCAAAAAATTCAAACGTTACTTGAGAGAGCTTTTAGTTTAAACCCTCAGCAGTCAGAATTTGCTACAGAACTTGGATACCAAATGATTTTACAAGGAAGAGTTAAAGAGGCACTGAAGTGGTATAAGACCGCCATGACACTTGATGAGACAAGTGTGCCTGCACTAGTTGGTATGAAAACTGTTTTCTTAAATACTTATAACATAGATTCAAGTAGTAATTGCTTTTAACTTGCCATTAAAGAAGTACAAATGTATTTTGTTATTTTCTAAACTTAAATTGTTCTCTACTACCCACACTAGAAAAAGTCATATGTCTTTTAAAATAAAATTTTTAATTCACAAATAATATCTTGAGAGAATATATTTTTACAAAGTGATTCCTATAAATTATGAATTCTTCAGTAAATGATTTTATAAAGTTCAAGGCTACCCATTTTATTTACTTTCACTCTTCATTTTCTTTCTGTTGTTTTTAATCTAAAACTTTGAAGTATTGTGATGAGGGTAAGCCTGTTTTATTAATGTTATGTCAGTTTGGAGAGTGCATGCCTAAATTGGTGTGGACTTTAACTGTCTTTCTGTTGTTTGATTTCAGGACTGATCCAGTGTCAATTAATAGAAGGGCAATTACAAGATGCAGATCAGCAGCTAGAATTTTTAAATGAAATTCAGCAGTCCATTGGAAAATCTGCGGTACAGTATTTTATTTTATCAGATGGTAGATGCTAGCTGTTTATAAAATACAAAATTTTAAATCAGTCTTACTGTTTCATAATGGCTGGAAAGCACTAGTGTACAAAATTTTAATATGTAATGGCATTTATTAATTTGCCTCCATACAAAACCAAACTTTATTCTTCTAAATGATTCTAAAATCTATTCAAGCTGATACTTAAATTTGAACAAATAATTGCCTATCACTAGCACATTAAATGCATTTGAAACCTAAGCAGAAATAAATGGCTTTATAACTAAATGGAATAATTTATGAAAACCACTTATTTTCTAGGAATTAATCTATTTACATGCCGTTCTTGCCATGAAGAAAAATAAGCAACAAGAAGACGTTATTAATATTTTAAATGATGTCCTGGACACTCATTTTTCACAATTAGAAGGTTTACCTCTAGGCATACAATACTTTGAAAAGCTAAATCCTGATTTCTTGTTAGAAATTGTTACGGAATATCTGAGCTTCTGTCCAATGCAAGTAAGTAATTCTGGGACTTAGTTTCAAGGATGCATTTACATGATGTTTTATGAAAGAACTTAAAAGTTTTCTTTGATGCATTAGACTATATAAGCATCTTAAAATGGCAATATTTGTATCTGTGTTAGTTGAAATTGCTTTTAATCCATCTATTTTTAATAATGATTGTTGTCAACTACTGAAAGTATTGGTTTGCAAATATTCATTTGTATTTTATAAAATATTAAAATCTTCACTTTAAAGAGATATTAAAAGTCATCTAATTCAGACACCTACCTTATATTTGCATCCAGTCTGTAACATCACCATCAAGTGCCTATCCCATGTCTGGGCAAACTCAAAAATGAAGTTCTTACCATATAACTATAATTGTTAGCCTGTGTTTCCTATGTTAAGTCAAACTCTGCTTTGTGTTTAAAAAAAAAAAAAAAAAAAAAAAAGGACCATTTACTTTTCCTCCTGCTCCCCAGAATGACATAGAGCAAGTCTAGTTGCTTAGAACAAGGATCATTCCTCATCCATGAAACAAACTTTCACATATTGGCAATTCGTTTTCATGTTCTGCTAAACAACTCCAGGTTTCCAGCCATTTATTTTTTTATATGACATAGTTTTGAGAATTCTGGCTGCTTTATTTTGTCTCTGCCTCTCATTAAGCTCATTATTCCAAAGGTGGATTTGACCTGCGAGAACTAGAGTAGACCTTTTCCTCCCTTATTCTGTAAGTCCATCCAACTTTCTTTTTATAAATCATATTACATTAATGACCTCTTATTGAATTAAGAGTTAATCAGAGACTTTTGGTCTGTTACATGTTGTAACTTTGGATTGTGAAATTTTATCTTTTCAGATTCATCTCATAATTCCATATTATTATATTCCTTGTGAATCATAATTGTCATCTATTTTAGATGGATCCTTACTGGCGTCTATCATCTGCTTTATCTAGCTCTGAGATAATTATTACCATAATGTTCTCTTCCAGGCATTAACACTTTTGAGTAGAGCTGAGGCTGGAACCCTATGTTGTACTACCAGGGAGTTCTTTCCAAATTGATGTGGATTTATTAGTCAGCACTCTTATTACAGATTGTAAGCAGTTACAGATATCCTGACTTTATTATTATATTCAGCTCACATTCAACACAGGGATATCAGGGCAGGCACTATCAAACACTCCACTGCTAGAAGCAAACTTCTTAGCATTCTCCCTGATCTACCCTTTCAGTAACTGTGTTAACATGGGGAATAAGGAAAATGACTTTCTCGTTGGGAACCCATACAGCCTTTTCAATCATTTTCTAGGGTTTCATTACTATTTATTTTTTAAAATAAATATTCATAGAATTGTACCTGGGGTTGACCTCAGACTCCCCAGTCATGATCCATTTACACGTGCTTGGAAGTTGGAATACATTTTTTTCAGTATTAATCTAGTATGCAGGATTCATTCTACAAATATTTATAGAGTACCTAGCACTGTACTTGGAGCTGGGGAAATACCCATGTAAAACAAACTATATTCTTTTCCCCTGAGGTGTATATTCCAACAAGAGGAGACAGATACTATAATTAAGTCAGTTATATACTATGATTAGAAAATGACAAGAGAAAATAATGAAACATGATGGGTTGATGGTGATTTTTAGATACATTGGTCAGGATAGGCCTCATGAAGAGGATGAGATCTGAACAAAGACTTGAAAGGCAACATGTTTTAGGCTTCTCTAGAGGGACAGATCACATGATTACAAGGTCCCACAATAGGCTGTCTGTAAGCTGAGGAGCAAAGAAACCAGTCCGAGTCCCAAAGCTGAAGAACTTGGAGTCCAATGTGTGAGGGCAGAAAGCATCCAGCCTGGGAGAAAGATGCAGGCTGGGAGACTAAGCCAGTCTAGTCTTTTCATGTTTTTCTGCCTGCCTTGTATTCTGGCCATGCGGGCAGGTGATGAGATGATACCCACCCAAATTAAGGGTGGGGCTGCCTTTCTCAGCCCACTGACTCAAATGTTAATCTCCTTTGGTAACATCCTCATACTCATCCTCACAGAAACACCCAGGATCAAGACTTTGCATCCTTCAGTATAACCAAGTTGACAGTATTAACCATCACAGAACATATGAAAATATGGTAGAGTGTTTCAGACAATGGGAGCAGCTGGTTCAGTAGCCCAAAGGGACACAGGGAGATAAATGTGGCTGGGGCAGGGTGAGGAGGAGGTGAGTAGTCAGAGATGAGGTCATCCTACAGGAGACCAGTGGTTGTTATAATTCCTTTGGCTTAATTCTGAGTACAGCAGGGAGTCACCAGAGGGCTTCCAGCATGATCCAAGTCAACATTTTAACTCAGTGTTTTAATGGATTTCTCTGTAAGATGTCCTGAGAATTAACTGTAGACAGAAAAAGAAATAATGCATTAAGTTGTAGTTGGGTTTGTAGTTCAACAAGATATCCTATTTTCCTTTACCAGGAAATTCTGTTTTTCTTTACCAGCATGATAGAAAGTAATTAGCATATGTGATACTGTTTTCATAGGTAAATACCGTAAAGGCAGAATTGTCTCCTCAGTTCTGTTCCTACTTCCTTGACCCTTTTATAGACATAGTTTTGTTTAGAATTTTAATTGAACAAATAATATCTTAAAGATTGTCTGCATAACTATTTTTTCTATGATTGCACATTGAAATTGTTTGCAGTAAAAGTAATGGTTGTTCTCAATAACTCATTTTTAGCAGGTGACAGAGAACACTATCAGAACCTCACCACCATTTACACTTTCACTATTTTTAGGCTGAAAAAAGATACATATTTTTAAACTGTTTGCTCTGTATCTACTATGCAAAGAAGCATAAAAATCTGATCTTCAAGACACATAAAAACCCTTAGGCCTATAAAAGAAGCAAAACTAAATATGAAAATACCAGTAGAACTGTATAGGTATTATACAGTGCTAAATTTTATTATGCAGATTATATGTGAAGAATTTAAAGAGGTTGAAGTATTCTAGGCAGTAGTAGTCATACTCCGATTATCTTTTTGAGCTTCTATATTGTGTGTGTCAAAAATAAGTAAGTTGTAGCACTTCGTTGTTGGTAATAATGGCTCATTATAGGAGTGATTTTCTATAAGAGGGCACAGTCCAGTTAAAGATCTTTATGTGTCAGGGGCGCGGGGTGGAGAGGATCATCCTTACATAAAGAAACAGGCTTAGTAAGGCAAAGCAGGAGGAATGAACGTTTTATATTTAAATTCTGATATCACAATAATAAATTGTGATTGGATGACCATTGGATAAAGATTGGTTTGGTAGACAGCCGTTATAAGAATAAGATCTTCATTAATAAGACAGCCATTATAAGGATAAGATTCTTTTCACTGTGAAAAGAATAAAGCAGTATTCTAGTATCAATTTAATTATCATACTCACTATTAATAGAAAGGAAAACTTTGAGTCTCTAAAGCATGCCAGGCAGAAGAGTGGGGAATGTAAAATGAGACATTTAGTTTAGCATAGTGAGTGTTCTACCTTCTGTTTACCACTGGGGGAAAATCTGAATTGTTTAACAACTGCCTTTTTAATACTCTAGGGGATAATGAAAGTAATCGAATTGAGCAAATCACAACGCAGATCTAGAATTTGAACACTTACTGCCTTGACTTTGTCAGTTCTAGCAAGAAACCCTTCCTCTTAGTTATCTTTCCTTTAACATGTATTGCTCTGATAAAACTTTTGAACACATATGCTCACTTGATATGTTATCAATTTAGTAATTGTATACTAGTTGCATAATTATTTTGCTGAACAAGAGCCCTTATTTGCATTGTCTGTTCATAAATTCCAGGGAAATAAATTAGTAAAGTCATAGTAAAGGTTTTATGAAATAAGGGAAATCAAAGACATTTTAGAAAAATGTGTATAGTTTTGTTAGTTATACTAAAATTAGTGTATGTTTATTTTTAGGTAAATATTATTTTACACTTATAAAATGATGTGCTGATTTGTTTTGTTTAGCCTGCAAGTCCCGGGCAACCTCTTTGTCCACTTCTCAGGCGTTGTGTCTCAGTCCTGGAGACTGTAGTAAGAACCGTACCAGGTCTTCTGCAAACTGTCTTCCTCATAGCAAAAGTGAAATATTTGTCAGGTAGAGTATACTTTGAAAACTTTTAACCTTTTTATTCTGATGTTGATAAAAACAAGTATAAATAGTCACTCTGTATATGGAGAATAGTCTCATAAAATGTACATTTTGTATATGCATGGTTAAATAATTCTAATTCAGAATGGAATTGCATAACTTATTGTTTATTCCTTTAAAAATTACTAGAAACTTTTGTGGCTTGCTGGGAATTGCTGGGAAAATGCAGTTGTACCATTATAAAAAAAGTCTGTCAGAAATTACTGGAGAATGGCAATGTGAATTTACAATCATCAATCCATAGTTGTGTTCTTACTGGCAACATTTGCCAAGTGCAACATTTGCCAGATTTCAGGCCCCACTGAAAAGTATTGAGTAATTCCTGTTTAGTTTCTGTGAATGGTTATGTATAGCTTAAAACAAAATCAACTCACTTATAACCTTAGTTTTCTAAGACACAGACAAGTACATGATTTTACACATAAAAATAGACCATCATGGCTGGGCACAGTGGCTCACACCTGTAATCCCAGCACTTTGGGAGGCCAAAGCTAGCAGATTACTTGAGCCTGCGAATTCACAATGAGCCTGAGCAAAATGGCGAAACCCCATCTCTACAAAAAATACAAAATTAGCTGGGCGCGGTGGCATGTGCCTATAGTCCCAGCTACTCAGGAGGCTGAAATGGGAGAATCACCTGAGCCCAGGGAGGTTGAGGCTGCCGTGATCCAGAGGATCACACCACTGCACCGCAGCCTGGGCAACAAGAGTGAGACCGTGTCTCAAAAAAAGGACCATCATATCATCCTTGTCTGTATGTCCCTTTGCCAATGGAATGCTATAAAAGTAAATAAAGTTTGTAAAACTGTAAGAGCAGAAACCAACTTAAAGGTATTTTCATAAGTAGTTACATCCTGTCTTATGATGGAGTGGTAAGATTGCCTTTACTGCTTCTTTGGACCTCTTTTTTCTTTATTTTTTATTTCAATTTTTTATTTATGTTGGGTACAAACACTTTTTGGTTACATGGATGAATTGTATAGTGCCAAAGTCTGAAATTTTAGTGTACCCATCACCCAAGTAGTGTACATTATACCCAATATGAAGCTTTCTATCCCACACTCACATCCCATCCTCTCTCTTCTAAGTCTCCAAAGTCTACTATATCACTCTGCCTTTATACCCATAGGGATGGGACATAGGGTATTTGGTTTTCCATTCCTGAGTTACTTCATTTAGAGTAATGGCCTCTAGTTCCATCCAAGTTACTATAAAACACATTATTTCATTCTTTTTTTTACAGCTGAGTAGTATTTTTTTTTTTTTTTTTTTTTGAGACAGAGTCTTGCTCTGTCGCCCAGGCTGGAGTACAGTGGCACGATCTCGGCCCACTGCAACCTCCACCACCCAGGTTCAAGCAATTCTCCTGTCTCAGCCTCCTGAGTAGCTGGGATTACAGGTGCGTGCCACCACGCTTGGCTAATTTTTGTATTTTTAGTACAGACAAGGTTTCACCATGTTGATCAGGTTGGTCTCAAACTCCTGACCTTATGATCACCTGCCTCAGCCTCCCAAAGTGCTGGGATTACAGGTGTGAGCCACCGCGCCCGGCCCAACCCCATTTTTAAGAACAGCCTTACATAAGAATGATACAGTGGACTTCAGGGAGTCAGAGAAAAGGGTGGGAGGAGAGTGAGGGAGGGATAAAATACTATACACTGGATACGGTGCTTGTGTGATGAGTGCACCAGAATTTCAGAAATCACCACTAAATAACATTCATGTAAGCAAACACCACCTCCTCCCCAAAAACCCATTGAAATAAAAAATAAGAAAATTTCTAATAACCCAAAAAAAAGAAAGAGCAGCCTTAAATCATGTGAAATACTGCTGCTAGCATGTGTCTAAGTAGTAGTCTTGCTAAATTGCCAACTGCAATGACTTTTGACACCAATAGCTAGAGTTGGGCCAAACATCACAGGTTAAGGGCGCAGTCCTCCATAAAACTGCCCTCACTTCAGATACTAGCCACAGATTTGGGCATTCCTAGAGCCTCCTGTGCTTTTGACTAACTGGCTGCAAATTTAGGGGCCCCTCAGTTTCAGTAATTTGCTAGAATGAATCACAGAACTCAAAACACTAGATTGGAAATTACTGTTTTCTTATAGCAACAAGATACTAACCCAGATCAGCAGCAGGGAGAGATGCACGGCATGAGGTCTGGTAGGGTCTCAAATGTAAAGCTTCTGTTGTCCTCTCCCTAGAGAGTCAGAAGACATCACCTTCCTGACGTGTCAATGTGTAACAATCAGTATTAGCAACCAGGGAAGCTCACCAAGGTTGGTGTCCATAGCTTTTACTGGAATTTCATTATGTAGGCATGGATTAAATCATAAGCCATGTGATTGAATTCAGTCTCCAGTACCCCACAGACTGGCAGTGTGGCTCTAAACCCCAACCCTCTAATCACACGGTGGATCTTTCTGGCACAGCCAATCCCCATTCCAAGTTATATCTTTAGCATAAACTATCTAGGGGTGCACCATGAGTCTTCTCATTAGGATAAACTATCAGGGTCCATAATGAATAACACAGATATTCCTAACAGGAGGGAAAAGAGTTAGAGGCCCCCTCCAGGAACCCAAGACAAACACAAGCCAAATGCTTTGTTACACAGAACTCTGACAAAGACAAATACACAGGACTGAAATGTCTTTCGGTTTCACTCAAGGGAAATTGGACTGCTCTTAGAATGTGATGTCCGTGTTGATCTCTGGTGACGTTGCCTATTTTCCTTAACAGCTTCTTATTTTTAAATATTTAGTAGTCTTCTGACGCTACCCTATATATCTATCCCCTACCCTTAAAAGAAACAAAGATTCTCCTTTTTGTTACTCATACAGCTTCAGCTCTTGGTTGCAAACTCTCTCTATGCACTTTCTCCTGTTAGTGCAACCTCTTTCTTCAAGTTATTGCCTTAATCTTTCTCCTTCCTAAAAGAATTTTCCCACAAATTTATTATGCCTAACTTTTCTTTCTTTTTTTTTTTTAATACCTGCACAGTTTTGAGTGTTGGATTGTAGCACAATAAATAAAGAATCTAACATTGCTAATTATGCTTGATGGTTGATTGCCAAACTTTGATGCTATGTTTAGTAAGTCATTGTGCCATCTCAGCCAGTTTTTTTTTTTTTTTATTAGTCCTCTGTCTCTGAGAAGAACATTTTCAATCTCAGTACATTTCTATTACCAGTAAGTTGAGCCTTATTTTGTTGACTGGTGTGTCAGGTGGGGTTGAAGGGCATAATTGAACAGAAAATCATTTAGGATCTCTTCTTCCCCCATTCTCCTAGCAAGGTTGAATGGGGAGTTGGCCTACTTACATCTTTTTAAGGGCAGTTTATGAGGTGATTAAGTTCAGATCAATGTGGGTTACATCATGAGAAACTTCTAAGACTTAGATTCAATGCACTGTTTTCTTCTGAAGAGCCTCTTCCTGCTACATCTATCAGCCCAAGGTCAATTTCTTGATCCCTGTCACTTTCATCTTGATTATTTCCTTTTATTTTAAGACTCCCAGATATATAACTGGCATTATTTCATTTGGTATTTAAAGTCATTTTAAATCCATAACGCGTATTTCTGAATCTCTGAAGTATCTCCTATTACTGAAGTATAGTAGTAATAGAATTTTTGGCCAAGAATGATTACTAGACTAATATACTCTTTGTTAATGTTAGTGACACTATAAAATTCTAGCTATTTAAATGTCTTTGTTCTACATAATTTATTTTAATCAAATTATAAATAAAACCTTTTTGTTGACAAGGTGAATAAAGGTTCATTTATTGGCCTCTCAGTAACACCAGTGCTTGGCTCTCTTCCTTTCCTGCTTTCCCTGGCTTGCTCGTTAAGATCAAGGACTGGCCTGACTTGCAGGTGTATTCATTCATGTGGACTAGAAGGAAGCTAACTGGCACAGGTGGAATTAAACCATAGCCTATGAACAGAGAACTTTAAGTTTACACACTAGGGCTATCCGTAAACTAAATGCTGTTCTCCCGCCTTTCTCTCAGATCTCCTTTTCTTAATCATTTGAATTATAACCGTAGATTTTTTTTTATTAGGTGACATTGAAGCAGCTTTTAACAACCTTCAGCATTGCTTAGAACACAATCCCTCTTATGCCGATGCTCATCTGCTGCTAGCTCAGGTTTACCTGTCTCAAGAAAAAATCAAATTGTGTTCTCAGTCTCTTGAACTTTGTCTGAGCTATGATTTTAAGGTAAGTATTCCTGACTGAAGTGGATAATACATATCATCCTCCTTGAAAGCGTACATATCCAAATATTTTGTGTTTTAGCCTGTAGCATTTTGCTAACAGTTGCATTTTTAATGGACAAAAAATTGAACTCACAAGCAGTAGTATGAAAAATTGAGGTAACTGAGGTGTGGCTAAAAAACTATGCGGACTTGGTGACAAAAATCCTGAGGTTAATGTCTGGTCTTTAACTTCTCTGAACCTGTTTTCTTTTCTATAAAACTCATTTACTAACACTTCTGTTACAATGAAAATTAAATGCAATAATAAAGGTACACAAAAATGATAAACTGTAGATCATTATGTCATATTTTTATACATAAAGATAATCATTGTGTTGTCTGTTTTTCTTGGACCTTAGTTTTTAATAACTTCTTTTCAGAGTCATTGTGAAAGAACATCTTGTCATTTTGAAAGTAACTTTGTGGTTTGAGGATATAAACACAGTATATTTCTATCCAAGATATATGTGTTATATCCAGTATCCCCTCAACATTAGGGAAGATCCTAGGTTCAGTTGCTTCCTTAACTACCTCGAGTCATGGAGGAACTCCTCAGGCTTTTGCTTTGCCTCGCAGGGCCATGAACCCTGTTATGGAAGAACCCTTCATTGAATTATAGAATTCTAATTAAGATTTGCAGAAAATATCACCTGCTTCTTAGGATAGTGGTTTTCAAGACTGGTGGTACGTCAGAGCCCCAGTGCTAGTGCCCCACCTCTACTGAGTCAAAATCTCTGAGGAAGGAATATAAGGGTGAGTCTCACATGAAGCTCTGTAAGCAAATGTGCAGGATGCCTAAGGTTGAGAACCTCAGCATCAGGAGGATTATAGCCGCCACATCACCTCATTCTGAGTCGTCATCTTCTCTTTGACTTCTTTTTCCCAACTCATTTTATCATTCTCTTATGTTGTCTGTATACACTGTTGATAGCCAGTGTAAAGATGACAGCTTCAGTACTGCATATTTAAGAGTAGTGTCGAAGGGGGAAGTCAGTGTTTGATTAAAGTGTCCTAAAGCTCTTAAAATTAAAAAAATAAAGGGGAAAACCTCTGTTTCTAGAAATCTAATAATTTTATCAGTCCTGGAAATGCCAGATAAAGAAAATCCTTTCCTGAAAATTCAAATAATTTCTTAGAATGTATTTGCTAGCCTTACAAACCTTGTTTGCACTTTCTCTTCTGTCATAGCAGAAATACATAATCAACCTCTTTGTCATCTCAGGATGCAGGGAGAAGCAATTTTCCTGAATCCCATTTAATGTGATAAATTATCAGAGGTTAATAAGAGGACAGAGATGGACGTCATGCATGCAAAGATGGGCTGTTCTCAGTGATCTCATTATTTTAATGTTTGATGGATTGTAAATTATGTGTTGATGTTGTAGGCACTCCAAGGAAATATTATTAAATATTTTTCAGGTGAGAGAATATCCTTTATATCATTTGATAAAAGCTCAGTCACAAAAGAAAATGGGAGAAATAGCAGATGCAATTAAAACACTGCATATGGCAATGAGTTTACCAGGAATGAAAAGAATTGGAGCTTCCACAAAATCAAAAGACAGAAAAACTCAAGTTGATACAAGCCATCGTTTATCGATCTTTCTTGAACTGATAGAAGTTCACCGCTTAAATGGAGAGCAGGTAGGTCCAGTTTTAATTCAAGGGCTCAGATCTGAACTTTCTTATTCTAACATATATTTTAGTAGCAAATGAAAAGCAAAATGTATTCACTTGACCAAGTGATAAACTTTAGAAAAATTTATTTTTCATTACCTTGCACTAAAACATGTATTTCCTGTACGCCCCTGAAAGTTAAGCATAATTTGCTCCTAGGTGACCCTAAGCATCAGTGTGCTCATGTTGGCTATGATGGAACATATGATATGATGTACAGCTCTCTTGGTTACCATGGAAGTAGTAATGTAATGCAGTTATAATTCTATGAATCCCTAAAAGGATCTGCACACATAAACACAAACACACATTCATGCACACTCCAGAACTACTGAAATTAAAAGAAAGTACCAACCTGAAATTCTAGTAGTTGAGGAAACAAAATAAATACTTGATAAATAAACCTTGGTAAACTCATAGGAATATTATTAAGTCAGATATTTTAAAAAATAATAGTATATACAGATTAGATAGAAAGTAATTCTGGGAGAATTAAAACCTTATAGAAAATGAGGAACTTTAAGTCATTTATATTAGTTGTGTTAGGTTGCAACATTTGCTAATCACTTATTTTTCATATTTTAATGAAAATTAAGAAGGATGTATTTCTAAATATTTGCCAAATCACAAAGAATTTCCATTTATTTATTGTATTTTTTAGCAATAAGATCTCACTCTGTGTCTTTGGCTGGAGTGAAGTGGTATAATCATAGCTCACTGTAACCTCAAACTCCTGGGCTCAAGGGATTTTCCCACCTCAGCTTCTCAAGAAGCTGGGTGGTGCCCAGCTAGTTTTTAAAATATTTTATAAAGGGTCTCTCTATGTGATGCAGGATGGTCCCAAACTCCTGGGTTTAAGTGATCCACTCACCTCAGCCTCCCAAGTGCTGGGGTTACAGGCCTGAGAGAATTTCTATTTTGCTAATTAACTTAAAGTACATTTAACAAGTAAGACCAATTATACCTTGTAGAGTTGATTCTAAGTACATTTTTTTTTTTTTTTTACATTTTAACATTTCTGAAATTCTTATAATCTCTAAAGTTGAGATGGATCTTAAATGACATTTTAGATTCATCAAGGCACACATTTGGAAATGAGGTAGATTCACCTAAAGTATAACAACAATGTTGTTATGGTGGAGGGAATAAAGTAATCTGCCACTTAATGAAGAGCCACTGTGTACAGCTATTCATTATACAGTGCAGGGGGCTAAGTAAATGCTCATTAAATTATAGTAGCAGTGACCCTGTGTAGCAGTTGCTGTTGTTCTAGTTGTGAAAACATTTATCTAGCTAACCAGTATTTACAGCCTCATCTGATTTTGGTCATGGGTTTAGTTTTAAATTTTTATAGTTTTCAGGAAAATTCTATCAATTTGTTTCATAAATGTACTAGCATTTATTCATACTGTGTTATTAGAAAATCTCCCTTTCTAGTGTTACTTGTTCACTGTTTTGGAAGAATGATATTTTAATTTCATCTTTACAGCATGAGGCAGCAAAAGTTTTACAAGATGCCATCCATGAATTTTCTGGAACATCTGAAGAAGTACGTGTTACCATTGCTAATGCAGACCTGGCCCTGGCCCAAGGAGATACTGAGCGGGCTTTAAGCATCCTTCGAAATGTTACATCTGAACAGCCTTATTTTATAGAGGCCAGAGAAAAAATGGCAGATATTTATCTAAAGCAGAGAAAAGATAAAATGTTATATATCACTTGTTATAGGTAAGTAATTGTCTCAACCCATTAAATTTTGACACTTTTAGCCATTCAGATTAATTCCCTTTTTTTTTAAGAACTTTCTTTCAACTGCTTTACAGATACTCTACCGATCTTTTTCTTAATGTGGTCTTGATTCCTTCTGCCACCAACCACAGTCACTCTAACCAAATTATTTGCTCTCCCTAAAACATAATTATGATTCCTTCAAACTGGCTTACTGTAGTTTCTCATCTCTCTATCAAATATTATTTTTAGACCCTAGATCTTTGTGTTTGAGAAGAGAAAGAGTAATCTGTATTCTAAGAACTTAAGAGTGTCATGTAATGTAACAGTCATCCAGGGGATAAGCAGGCATATTTATTTATTACTCAATATAGTAATTGTAGCAAAAACAAACAAACAAAAAAAAAAAACCCAAAAAAGTTACTTTAGTATGTACCATGCTAAGGTGTGGATTACAGATATTTCTTGGTGAAAGAGCATGACCTTAAAAGTATGTCACACTGGTGCCCTTATGAGTTGTTGGGATACACAATGCTCACACACACACACACACACACACACACACACGAAAGCACGCACGCAGAGAGAGAGAAAGAGAGATTGCTCTTCCTCCTCTCCCCAAATAGAAAGGTAAACATATAAGCATCCACACTATGTAAGAGAAGATTAGTGTTTTTAGCTCTTGATAGCATAGTAACTTATTGATGAAGTAATTCATTATTGGTTCATCTATATTGTATCAAAGTCAAAAAGCTGCTGAGATTCTTTTAAGTTCTGAGTGATTCAGAGAAACTGAGCAGCACCGCGTGTTTAGACGGATGGACTGGAGTTCCGAGGTTGTATTTTCTAAGGTATTTCCAAAAGATCATCACTGTCGTCTCTAATAACATGAAAATAATTCAAATAGGGCTGATTTATTTTTGATGTACTATAATGTAGTAGTTTAAAGCATAGGTTTTGTTTCAGGAAAATCTGGCACATCACCTGCAAATCTTCACATCATCTGTAAAATTGGGATACTAATTCTCAGTTTTTGGACCAATTAGATGAAATACTGAATGTTAAAGGCTTAGCTCTACATTGTTGTTTCAATACTTTTGGTAATTTGACCTTTGGTAGTCCACGTTTTCAGGTCAAATGTAAGCAACATATACTGAAACAGAAGACTGTATTTTTTTCAGGTAATTTATTTCAGCATATAATTTGTGCCATGAGTATCAGAGCTCAAGATGCATAGGAGGACAGTAGAATTGTATTCCCCCATCATTTTTTTGATACCTTCACTCCCACATCATTTCAGAATTAAAGAGAGCAAAATGTGTAGGTCCAGATAAGGAGAACTTAAGATATTTACTATCTGCCTATACTTGGTTACCTGCATTTCAGAAAAAGAAGATTCAATGACAGAAATAACTGATCTAGCATAAACAATTTGGGTGTGGTTATGCAAGAGATTTTTATAATATTATTCTGTTAGATATGTAGAGATACTCGGAAGGCTACTGACTAACTGAAATAAGCGAGCTCATTTTTATTTCATTTTATTTTTGGAAAAAGATACCTGTATTCGATATACTAAGTAGAGTCGTTCTGATTTCCAGAGAAATTGCTGAAAGAATGCCCAACCCTCGGTCTTTTCTTCTCCTTGGTGATGCATACATGAATATTCTAGAGGTAAAACTTCTGATGTTACTGAACTGCAATTTTTAAAAAATTATTTCTGATGAGTATAACTTTCTATTAAAAGCAGTGTTTTTTAAAATGATGTTTACTATTTGAAGATCCAGTCATCACACTGAAAGGGAGATATCTGTTACAATTTTTAAAAATTGATTTTTTTTTTTAAAGTTGAGATCCAGTAATTCAGCAGTATTGTTATTTGAAATAGAGATGAGGCCGGGGGCGGTGACTCACACCTGTAATCCCAGCACTTTGGGAGGCTGAAGTGGGTGGGTCACCTGAGGTCAGGAGTTTGAGACTAGCTTGGCCAAATGGCAAAACCCTGTCTCCACTGAAAATACAAAAATTAACCAGGTGTGGTGGCAGACACTTGTAATCCCAGCTACTTGGAAGGCTGAGGCAGGAGAATTGCTTGAACCTGGGAGGTGGAGGTTATAATGAGCTAAGATCACACCATTGCACTCTAGTCTGGGTAAAAGAGTGAGATTCTGCCTAAAAAAAAAAAAAGACACCAAAAGTATGTTGGGAATGTTCTTTATACAGAAGGATAAAAGGAGCTACAGACTAAGGTGGTGTTTTCTTCAAAGGGAACCAATCCTCCAGTGCTCTATAATGGCTGTTCTAATGACTTCTGGAAATGAAAAGTCAAATGGTGTCCCTTAGTTCACATATTGTTATTTATATAGACAAGAGCACAATTAATATGAGTAGAATTATACTAATAAATTATACCTACCCATACCTACTCTTATTTATCACCTTTTTGAAATTATTAAACTTCCTATGCTTCAGTATACACTTAATCTTATGTAATATTCCAAATGTAGAGCTTAATTATAGAAATGTTGCCCTTTAATTGGATGCAGTTATGCTTACTTTTTATTGCTTATTTTTTGTGTCTGGCAATATTAGCCTGAAGAAGCCATAGTAGCATATGAGCAAGCATTAAATCAGAACCCAAAAGATGGAACACTGGCAAGCAAAATGGGGAAAGCACTTATCAAAACTCACAACTACTCAATGGTAAGTTCTTTATAGTTTGAAATATGTCTTTTTCATCAAATTTATCATACCCTGTTCTCCAGAAGCTTCAAAAGGCACCATTTGCATCTTTAATGGTTGTAAACTCCAAATCTGTATTTATGAACTGGGATTTGTTTTAAAGGCTTTCTCAGTATCTCAGATTCTTCATTGCTTCATTTTGTAATGATTGTTTGGACCCTAGAGCTTACTTCAGGCTTCATCTTGTATCTAAAATCCTTGCTACCAAATCAATTACCATAAAGTTATTATTCTTACATCTCTTTTATTATGTGACAAAACATATGATAAATGTTCTTTCTGCTGCATCAGTTTTTGCAAGCTAGGTGCTTTGAGTTTATTTTTTTTCCAGTAGGGAAAAGATATTTTTCTTTAACTGTTATATTCTTACCCTTTTCCTAGTAATTGTTGACCATATGTACAAGAGCTAGCAAAATGTATGTCTTTGATAAGGTTCACTGGCCTCATAAAACCTCTAAAAAAATTCTTTGCCAAGTACCATTCTTTAGCTACTTATCATAAGAAATGTTAGTTGTTAGCCAGGTGCAGTGGCTAACGCCTATAATCCAAACACTTTGGGAGGCCAGTACGGGTGAATCACTTGAGTTCAGGAGTTTGAAACCAGCCTGGCCAACATGGTGAAACCCCATCTCTACTAAAAATACAAAAAATCAGCTGGGCGTGATGGCAGGTGCCTATAATCCCAGCTACTTGGGAGTTTGAAGCAACTTGCTTGAACTTGGGAGGTGGAGGTTACAGTGGGCTGAGATTGTGCTACTGCACTCCAGCTGGGCCACAGAGTGAGACTTCTTTGTCTAAAAAAAAAAAAAGAAATGTTAGTTGTGATGATCTAGTGTCTGAGAAGAATGGCATACTTAATTGACAGGTAGGTATGCGCTTACAGTTCTTCCTGGTTATTTCCAGTTATACCTATGCTTTAAGTCTATAATGTGTGCAATAGCTGTGCTTGAACCCCATTCTTATTGCCTTGTTCCCTTAAATGAAATGGATTTTGTTTAGGCGATCAGTTACTATGAAGCTGCTCTGAAAAGTGGACAGAAGAATTATCTTTGCTATGACCTGGCTGAGCTCTTACTAAAATTGAAATGGTATGACAAAGCAGAAAAAGTTCTTCAACAAGCTCTGGCTCATGAACTTGGTATGAAAGTCTTTCTAGTGTGAAAAATGTCTGATAAGTCTGATCCATTTTATTTTTATATTGCATAAATATATATTTGTATCCTCAATATTTCATATGTGGTTGGTTATATAAATACATGCGTATTTTTTCTTTTATCAGAGTGCTACTCTACTAAAATGTGGCATTTTAAAATATTAGCAGATTTATGAAACAGTTAAATGTGTTATGGAACTATAGCTTACTTTCCAAAATAATATAAGTAAGTTATCTTTAAATTGCAACTACCTCATATTTAAACACTTTAACATTTTTGCAGTATTTACTTTTTAAAAAAGTAGCACATTTCTTTTTTCAAATTCTAGCACTATCAAAGAATATAATGCATAAGTCACTGTTTCTCCTATGAATCCCATTTGCCTTGTTCTCAAATTATCTCCTTAGTAATTTGTGATTTAATATATAGTCTATATATGTGTGTGTATATAAGTGTAATGTGATTTTCCTTTGTAAAACTGTATTACTTTTTCTGTTCTGCAAATTTTTCCACATACATGTCTGAGATAGTTTGATGTCAGTGTATCATGCATTTAATTTGCATTTCTTTGATGAGGGATAAGCTTAGGTATTATTTTGTTTATATATCTTATTTTCCTCTAGGAATTTTTATTCATATTATTCTATCTGCAGGCATCACAGTGTTCCATAATGCCAGTAAATTAGTTAATTTTCTGGAAACTATTGGGTATTTAATTTGCATTCCTTTGTTTTGATATTATAATCCATATTACAATGAATATCATTGTATCATTCATTAGTGTAGATTTGCATGTATTTCTTAGAATAGGATGCTGAGCTGAAGATTTTGTGCATTTAAAATTTGTTTGGATACTATCAAATTACCTTCTTAGAAGTTTGTAAAAATTTACTCTTTTAGGAACTTTATTTTTTAATAAAATCTGGTGATTGCCCATTGCCAGAATTTAAAGATTACAGCAGTGAATAAAAGTTATATCCTCTCCCACTATCCAGAGAAAACGATATTTAACAACTTGTATATCATGATAATCAGTCTCCCTGCCACCATCTTTGTCTCTCATATATCCACAATTATTATTATGCCTACCACTTTTTTCTGTTTAAATGGATTATAGTACAATTATATTCTGCAGTATGCATTTTTCATTTAATAACATCTTTCCATTATAGAAATATAGCTTTTCTTTATTTTTTAGCATATGTAGAGTAGCCCACTCTATGTTAATAATCATAATTGATTTGATGAGTTGCCTATTGGAATAGACATTGAGATTGGGGAATAGTTGGAAGCAGTACTGAGATAAAATCCATATATATATATATATATATATATATATTCCTCTCTATACTTCCTAGAATTAACTCTTGCTCCATTGTTCTTTCTTAAGGCTAAAAACTTCCTGACATTATGTAGTGTTAGTCATGAAAAGTAAACTTATTTTAATTTGCATTTCTTTGATGAGTGATAAAGTTAGGTATTATTTTGTTTATAGATCTTATTTTCTTCTAGGAATTTTTAATTTCTATTCTTTGTCTTTAATCCTTTACCTGATACTCATATTATAGATATTTCTCCCAGGCTCCTTTTCTTTATCAGATCTGTTTATTGTATTTTTGATCAAGTAGAATATTTAGTGATCGTATATTGTATCTGTTTGTCATGTCCTTTTTTAGGCTTCTGAATTTCTTGTCATTCTGAAAGACTTTCCCTAATCTTAACATTATAATATTATTTCCATATATTTTTGTCATTTGTGTTGTTTTAATTTTTATATTTAGAAGTTTAATCCATGTATTTTACTCCACATACAAGTTTTACTATATAGTTTCCAAAATGGATAGCCAATTTTATTTTTGTGCCATTTATGGAACTGCCTCCTTTATTTTATAATAAACTCCTTTATATACATTACCCTGATTATAGGAATCTTTGTTTTATTCCATTGCGTTATGTTTCTTTTCTTTTGCCAACACCATGTTTAGTGTAGCTTTAAAATACATTTGAACACATGTTTAGAGAAGCCCTTTGTAAGTTTTCTGATATTTTCAAAGTGGTCTTTCAGTTTAGCTTTGATGAAATTGGTGCTTAAGTTCTCCTACTTATAAATGTATTTATTGTATGAAGTGTTACTACTTCCATAAAAATATATACATGGATTTGTCAGATCGTCTTTTGAAACACTCGAAAGACCAAAATGTGGATATACATTTTGAAACGTTTGTAGGGAGAGAGAGATTCAAGTATCATATGTTTTATTTACAGTGGGTATATTATTTTTATGTAATATAAATGCTTTCACTTAATATTTGTCGAGCATACCCATGACATACTTAGAGGCCTTCAGATACATTTCATACATTGTTTCATCAGGACTCATATTAATCTTTGAAGCAAATATAATCATACCCATTTGAAAATTAGCAATGTGAAACTCAGTTTTATTGATATGTCCAGGTCTACCTAGTTGGTAAAATGGCATGGTGTGTCATGAACTTGACATGCAATTGACAAATGGTAGAGGAAACATTTTAGTTAATTATCTAGGGTCTTTTATTGTTCTTAGACACAAAATATTCAGCATTAACCAAATAATTAAATAGTACTTACCGTGTACCAGAGTTTGTTTTCATTACTTTGCGTATTTTAACTTATTTAGTAACTTATTAGCTTTTAAAATTTTACATCCACCTTGTGAGGTAGGTACTAGTGTTTTTCCTATTTTACAGATGAAAGGGAAATATAGAATGGTTAAGTACCTTGCTCAAGATTAAATGTCTAGTAAGTGGTAAAGCCTAGATTTGAAACCATACTGTTTAACATCAAAGTCAGTGCTCTTAGTAACTATACTTTATTGCTTATTAAGTATCTATGATTTTTAAAAGAGCAGTTATCTTCTTAATTGCATATAGCAACTACTCTTCTTTTAATGACTTCAGTAAACAAATTTTTATACACTTAAGAATAAAAATGGAAATTATTGTGGTGTTTAATTATTATTTATGTATTTCTAAGAAAAGCCTCTAGTTGTAAACCCGTTCTTTAACTTTTCAATCAGCTAGTTTTTATCCTAAATCTTTTTTTTTTTTTTTGGTCATTCTTCAGTTCACTGAGAAATTTTTAACTTTATTCACCATTTTTCAAAATCATTTTTTTCAGGAGACCAGTTTTTAAAATTCTAGGAAAATGTAAACATTTATTTAGGATGAATAATTTTTTTTGTTACATTCCATTCTTTCATAGTAAATGAACTGTCAGCTCTCATGGAGGATGGACGTTGTCAAGTTCTTCTAGCAAAAGTTTATAGTAAAATGGAAAGACCTGGTGATGCAATCACTGCATTACAGCAGGTAAATGCATTTGTTTGTGAGTGTGGTCATGAGGTAGGAGATGAATGCAGAAGGAAATAACGCCATGTATAAGAGGAAAGCAATCTCTTTTGGCCAAAGAGCTACAGAAAATATGTCAAAATCGAAATATGTGTTGAATACTTATGGATTATACAGCTTAAGTATATTATTACTACTATTATAACAATTAGGAATGGTTGGTGTTTTTTAATCTTGTTTTATAGCTGAGGAGACTTGGTTGAATAACTTGTGTGAAGACATATGACTAGTGTCATAGTCAAGATTTGAACTTACTTAGTGCTTTCTCCCTCCATTTATTTAGATCTTTTTTTCTCTTAATATTTTGTGGTTCTCAACATAGAGGTTTTTCATAGATTTCCTTAGATGTGATCCCAAGTGGTTGATTTTTTTTTTATGATGTTTCAGTTTCTGGTTTCTAACAACTTCTTTACAAGTGACTTAAATATTATCAAATGTACTCTCTGCATCTTTCAAGATGATCATATGTCTTTCCTCTTATTTTTCTTTTTAAATGTGGTATATTTAATTGATTTATTTTCAAATGTTAAACCACCCTTATATCCCTGAAATAAATGTCACTTTGATATAATTTTTAAAAAGATATTACTGGAATTTAAAGATGTTTTATATTTTGTTCAGGATTTCTACATCTGTGTTCAACAAGTTGATACTAATTTGTTTATTTTTTCTTTTTGTTTTTTGAGATGGAGTTTCACTCTTGCTGCCCAGGCTGTAGTGCAGTGCTGCAATCTTGGCTCACTGCCATCTCCGCCTGCCAGGTTCAAGTGATTCTTTTGCCTCAGCCTCCCGAGTAGCTGAGATTAGAGGCACCTGCCACCAAGCCCAGCTAATTTTTGGATTTTTAGTATTTTTTGCAGTGACTGGGTTTCACCATGTTGGTCAGGCTGGTCTCGAACTCCTGACCTCTAATGATCCATCCCTATTGGCACCCCAAAGTGCTGGGATTACGGGCATGAGCCACCACGCACAGCTGCTAATTCTTTAATGTTTGGAACAATTCAGGGTTGCAGACCTTGAGACTTCTTTGAAGGAAGGTTTTTATCTATGGATTCAACATCTTTAATAGATTTAAGACTGATCATTTTCAAATTGATTCTATCAATTTAGATTTTTTAAGTAGTTTATTGCTAAATTTATTAACATAAACTTATTAATTGTATCTTTACTTTTGAATGTCTATAAATTAGTGAAAAAGGTCCTCTTTTATAAACCTGATATTAGTAATTTTTTTTTCTTCTTTAATAATCAATTATGCTAGGGGTTTATTATCTTACTAATATTTTCGAAGAGTCAACTTTTACCTTTTCTGGCTTCATTAAATGTTTTAACCTCATAATTAATTTCTTCTACTTTCTTTGCGTTTGGTTTACTATTTTTTTTTTTCTTTTTTTAGCCTCTTGAAATAGTATGTTAGGTAATGGATTTCAAGCTTTTGTTCTTTTTTTATTCATTTGAAGCAATAAATTTTTCTCTCTCGACACTGGTTTATCAGCATTCCACAAGTTTATTATTATTTAGTGTAAAACATTTTCTCATTTTCACTTTGATTGCTTCTTTGACCCATGGTTTATTTAAAAGTGTAATATTCAATTTTTAAGGAGTTCTGATTTGCTTGCTATCTTTCTGATTCTGATTTCTAGCACACTTCCACTATGCCAAGACATACTTTGAATGATTCAGTTTTTTGAAATTTGTTGAAGCTTGCTTTATAGCCTATATTATAATCAATTTTGGTAAAGGTTCCATGTGGACTTGAAAAATATGTTTCTAGCATTACTATAACCACAATTATTCTTGCACCAACCTAATAAATACTTAGTTCAACTATATGTCAATTAGGTCAGATTTTTTATTGCTTTTTCTGCATCTTCCTTGTTCTTAGGGTTTGGCTGTTGTTTATTTGCTTGGTTTTGGTCTATTTGTGTAATTTGCTGTTAGGAGAGGAATGTTAAAATCTTTCAGTGTTATTGTGTGTTTCTCTTTTTCCATTTAATTCTGTGTATTTTTCCTTCATTTATTTAGAAGATACACTATTGAATGATCCAAATTTGGAATTGCAATATCTTCCTGGTGATTAAGTTCTTTATAATAATAAAATGGCCTTCCGCTTTTCTAGTAATGCTTCTCGCTTTAAAATCTCCTTTGTCTTCTATTAATATAGCTAACTCCAACTTCCTATTAATATTTGCATGATATATCTCCTGCATTCTTTTACTTTCAGTTTTCTTTTCCATGTCCTTGTGTTGATGATCTGTCAGCATATTATTTACTCTGACAATCTTAATCTATTATATTTTGTTAACATTTAATATGATTATGAATTATGTTTAGATTTATATTTGCCATATTATATTTTGTTTTTGAATTTTCTTGACTTTTATCTGAATTAGTTACATTATTCATATTCCATTTTCGCCTTATTATTGTGTTATTTAAACCTCCTTTTATTATTTTTCAGTGTTAGCTACACGTCTTCATATTCAAATTCTACTCTACCTTTGCCTTTTCCATTATTTTTGTCATGCATTTTAAATTAGTAGCTTGAATCTTTGTCTATAGGGAACACAATGTGATATATTTTATTTCGGTATCAGACACTGGAAGATTTTTAAAGAAATCTTCTAGGTTCTCCATCTCATTTGAATAATTTTGTGTGTCTGCCTTATCCATTATGTGATGATTTTACAGCTTAATTCTGAGAGGGATAATCTCACTTCCCAAGTTCCCTGGAGACACTAAATGTTCCCCAGATAAGATCCACAATATTGGTTTGTTTTGCAGTTGTCTAGTTCCTGGATATAAAAGTGAAATGGTATTTGCATCTTAATCATCACTTGCCTTCTTAATACTTTTTATTTTTTTAAAAAAGACCTTCATTATTTTTATCTCATTCTATTTATTCTGTGTCTGTGAGCTCCTGTGATATGTTGGAAGCAACAGGGCTCTGAGGTAAGCAAATAGGTTATATATGACTATGTTCGTTTTCCCACAAAGAGTATTTGTCCAAGATTATATAGCTGGTTTACTAGAAGAGTTTAAAGTGGAATTCAGATATCTCAGTCCTAAACCTTTGTGCTTTCCAGGATACTGAACTAGTCACTTGATTTTCATCTACCAGGAAGACTTATGCATTCTGCAAATAATTTGTAGTGTTTTGGTTTTGAGATTTAACTGAAAGGTGTATGTGTGTGTATGTGTGTGCACATGTGCATGTGTGTGTGTGTGCGCTCACACAAGTTTCAGTAGAGCGTTCCAAAATTTTTTTGTTCTAGTTGTGAATGAATCGAGCTTGAATTATTAGATTCCTGTGATATCCATCTAGGTTTTTGATGCCACTAAAATATATAACCTTAAACAATATGAATGTCTTATCCTTAATTGCTGGTACCTTTTAGCCTTCACTTTCTGAATCATATGATAGAGAATTGCACCCAGCCCTAGGTTAGCTACCAGTAGCTACAAGGAAAGTGTAATCTTTGGTAAATGCAGACTTTTAAAACATTTTAGAAATAAATTTAGCTTACTTCACTCCTTTATGAGTATCATTAATCCCAGTCACTATGGTTGCATGAGCCCCTGTGTTATAAAAGCAGATATATGAAGCAACACCAAAAAACAGCATGCCATGGCTAGGTAATACCAGCACCCCAAACTGTAATCAGTTTTAAGTTTATATGTTTTATAGCACAGGGATTATTCATTTTTAATAAGGTTTGGAGAACTATAACATTCTTCCCAATGATAACATGCTGCGTATTCTTAATGACAAAGAGACAAATCTTAAGATGCAATTCAAACAGGAACTTACACATGGAATCAAAGCTTTTGATATTTTATGTTCATTTATTCAGCAACCATTTATTGAGCCTAATTCTCTATGTAACTTCTGCAAAGTTGCTAAATGTTTTTGGCAGTGACAGAAATGGTAAATTTAGGGAAATCTCAAGTCCTATGAATTTTGCTTTCTAAACATTTCAGACTTTTCCAATAACTCCACATTTCAGTATCCCTCTCTGTCATCTTAGAGCCCACTCCATCGTTATTTCTTGCTTATTCCTGCAGTGGCCTCCTGACTGATTCCATCCTCTTCTAGTCTTATTTTTCTCTAGTCAGTTCTTCACAGTGACGTCAAGGTGATAGTTCCCAAAGATAAACCTGATCCTCTCAGGCCAATTCTTATAAACATGGTATAGTAGCTTCTCATGGCCTCTAGGATAAAATGCAGATTATTTTACAGGCTTACATGTTGTATATTCTCTATATCTTTCTAGCCACTTTTCTTCTAATTATTTGATCAAGCAATATATCCTTTATTCTCTTTCCTTCACATGTGCTTCCTAATGCCTATGAGCCATTCCATCTTTTCATCCTATTTCTTTCTCTCCAACTTATCGGGGTGTAACTACTAGCCATTCTTTTTTTTTTTTTTTTTTTTTTTTTTTTGAGATGGAGTCTTGCTTTATCACCCAGGCTGAAGTGCAATGGCTCTCGGCTCACTGCAACCTCTGCCTCCTAGGTTCATGCAATTATCCTACCTCAGCCTCCCAAGGAGCTGGGATTACAGGTGCACACCATCATACCCAGCTAATGTTTTGTATTTTTAGTAGAGACGGGTTTCACTATGTTGGCCAGACTGGTCTTGAACTCCTAACCTCATGATCTGCCTGCCTTGGCCTCCCAAAGTACTGGGATTACAGGCGCAAGCCACCACACCTGGCTGGTACTGGCAATTCTTTAATTCTCACCTGACCTCCAAGACTGAGTTAGGTTTTCTGTTATGTACTCCCATGGCAACAGTATTTTCCACTTACCTTAGACAACAGTCCTCTGGGGGCAGTTTGCCAGGGGCCTCTGTTGCCAATATTTGTTCCTCTTTCTCTTTCATTTTCACTTTCCTTCCTACATTTGCAGTTTAGAGTTCAGGATGTAAAGCAGTATGCAGCCATAAATGATGGGACATCCCTAACAAAATGCTAGGAGGCCACTACCTGGAAACCTTTGTCCTTAGCATAGTACCCTTACCCCTGAGGTGCTAGGGATGGGCCCTGGGTCTTTCCCTGCTTTCTACTTTCCTAATGGCTTAGTGATGTCAAAGGAGGACATCTTGATGTGTAGAGGTGCAGTAATTCAGGGATGTAAGGATACCTTCCTGCAAGACAAGATCATCCTGTCTAAACCAATTGTTTTCAGGTTTTTTACTAGAAGCCACATGCATGAGTGTGTGTGTGTGTGTGTGTGTGTGTGTGTGTATAAAAACATGAACAGATGTATGCATATGTATAACCCAAAACACACAAATGTACGTATATTGACATACTTATATAAACACATATTAATATAACCAAAATAAAAATTTCATGAAACATTAATCTTAACCACATGCTATATACACTCATATTTTTCTTTCATTTGCAAAGGTATGCTGTATAACTCTCTAAACCTCTGGTTTGAGAAAACAAAACAAAAACCTGTTTCAAAGCACTTGTTAACTAACATTTTGACTGGAGTCCCCAGAAGTGCACCCTGTGTGTAGCATAATATATGGCATATGGTATGCATATACTATTTGTTAAATAAATGCATTCATTAGCAAATGATTATGCATAGTTCAAACATAAATTTTATTCTTGAAGACCTAAAACATGGGAGTTTTTACCGTTTATTAAAGGAAGATCTCAATGTTCCAGTAATCAGATAGATGGGTAGAAAGGCTGATATTCCTCCAATTTAACAAACTACTTTACATTCTTACCCCAAGGAAGGCCCCACCTCCTCTTACTTGTTTCACAGTTGTATTTCTTCCTTAGTGAACTTCCTATATACATACTTGTAACAGTGGGAAAAGGCTCAGTAATTTCATAGTGTTTTGTTGGGAAGATATATGCATGCTGGCTCATTTGCAAACAAGTACATGCTTGAGATCTCAATAAGACATTTTCCTTGGATCAGGCTTTGTTAGATCAAGGGTTCATAATGTTTAAATAAATCTGTAAAATTACACTGTGTGTGAGTTATGGAGAATTTAATTTCCTTTCTTTCTTTTTTTTTTTTAATTCCCTTTATCCTTATTTTTTTTCTAGGCTCGAGAATTACAAGCTCGGGTACTAAAACGTGTTCAGATGGAACAGCCAGATGCAGTTCCTGCACAGAAACGTTTAGCAGCTGAAATTTGTGCAGAGATTGCAAAACATTCTGTTGCTCAGCGAGACTATGAAAAAGCAATTAAGTTTTATAGAGAGGCCCTGGTTCATTGTGAAACAGATAATAAGGTCAGTACCTTTATAAAATTTTACGTACCTTTTATTCCAGATGTCCTCTGATTTCCTCAGGTGTAAAATTTACCAGTTTATTTAATAAGAAGTTTTAGGCTGAGTACAGTGGCTCATGCCTGTAATCCCAGCACTTTGGGAGGCTGAGGCGGGTGGATCTCAAGGAGTTTGAGACCAGCCTGACCAACATGGTGAAGCCTCATCTTTACTAAAAATACAAAAATTAGCCGGGCATGGTGGTGGGTGCCTGTAATCCCACTACTCAGGAGGCTGAGGCAGGAGAATCACTTGAACCCGGGAGGTGGAGGTTGCAGTGAGCTGACATTGTGCTGCTGCACTTTAGTCTGGGCAACAGAACGAGACTCCATCTCAAAAAATAAAATTAAAAAGAAGATTTTAAAAGAAATGTAACAAAAATACAAGTTAAAAGATTATTATTCCTCTAAAACTTTCAAAATCTTACATGATGCTTACTTTAAGAATATTAGAGTTTAAGGCCGGATGCAGAGGCTCATGCCTGTAATCCCAGCACTTTGAGAGGACAAGGCAAGCACATCACTTGAGTCCAGAAGTTCAAGACCAGCTGAGGCAGCATGGCAAAACTCCACTCTACTAAAAAATACAAAAGATAACCAGGCATGGTGCCGTGCACCTGTAGTTCCAGCTCCTCACAGGGCTGAGACGGGAGGATCACCTGAGCCCAGAAGGTCAAGGCTTCAGTGAAACATGATGGTGCCGCTATACTACAGCCTGGGTAACAAAGTAAGACCCTGTCTCAAAAATAAAGAACAGAAAAAAAGAACATTACAGTTTAAAAATGGTAATGGAACAAGTAACATAAGCAACATGAAAAATTGTTTTAATATTTATGTTTTTGATTATCAAAATAATTTAAATAATTTTCAAATTAATTTATCAAAAATAAATAATTGTAAAATAAAATAATTTCTCAATCACAAATATCTGCATTTAGCCAATTCAGCTCCTCTGTATTTCAATTGGTGTTTAGTATTAGGATGCGAAAATGGCTAGACTGAATCTACGACCTCATATGGCACCGTGGGAGAATAAACTAAAGATAATTTGGTGTAGTGCCCTTACATACATGACTGGCTATGTTAAAATTAAAATGTTTTTACTCTGTCAAGATCTGAGAAGATCTGGAGACATGATTAATTTTTGAAAATAATTAATGGCTGAACACTTAAGTAAGTGATGCCTATATAAAAGGCAACTATACTCCAGAATTTAATGACTAGTTTGAACGTTTTTATTAATATAATTTTTTCAGATAAAGGGCACAAACAACCTTTAGCAAGGCATAACCAAACAGATACCTTTTTCAATGGTTGCTAAAGGAGTTGGAATCCTACTTTTAAATCTGAGGCATACCTTTAGAGATTATCTGCATGAAGCTTTTTATTTTACAAATGAGAAGGCAGATTAGGAGAGAGAGAAAGGACCTGACTTGGCCCCATCCTGGAGGAGCTGGGACTAGAATCCCATCTCCTAGTTTTAAGACCAGTGTTCTTTTCACAATGCATTATGTCTTCTCTACTTTTGAAGTGAGTTGTTACCTGTTTTTCTGTTTTGTTTTTTTCTAGTGTAAAAGAAAATACAGATGGGCTTACCTATAGTTTGTGTGTGTGTGTGTGTGTGTGTGTGTGTGTGTATTACACTTGACATTTTTATTGCAGTGACTTGTGGTCAACTAAAGTTTAATCTGTATCCGCATATTTTCCTCATTCACTTTTAATTCTATACAGTATCTGACAAGTCTAGTCCTTTGCTCTACAGATTATGCTGGAACTGGCACGATTATACCTGGCACAAGATGACCCTGATGCCTGCCTGCGGCAGTGTGCTGTGCTGCTTCAGAGTGACCAGGATAATGAAGCTGCCACCACGGTCAGTCCAAGGAACTTCAGTTCAGTCAAAGCAGTTGCATTTTATAAATTTTAAATTTTACCCCACAGAACTACTACTAGAGGATGAGGCATGGCTCATGTTGGGTTTTGGAAGAAATCATATTTTTCTAACGTTAGTGTATTTTACCAATAAAGACCCAGAATCATTAGGATTTTATTTATAAGAAAGACAGCAAACCTATATCGGGCTTTTACATGCCCTTTTGGGTCTAGTTAATTTTTATTTATGCCTAAGGGGATGCTTGGTTAGGTGGAGTTCACATGGTAACACTATAATTTGCTAAGAACTAACTTTTAAGTACTTACTTAGGAATGCTGGACGAATTTAAGAAATTTTTGGAGTTACAGGGGAAAAAAAAAACTTCATCCATCAGTCTAAGATGGTCTGTTTTGATGAGAATTTTGTTTTGTTTTTGTTTTTATGTGGACTGAAATATTTGTCACTTTTGCAAACAGCTACATGGATGACATTTTGTGAGGTTTATTCAAAGTTATTGCGGTTAAAAAGATATATATGAAGTCTGCGTTTTAAAACACATAGGAAAAATCTCAGTAGGTCTGCTCATTTTTAATTTTTCAAAATATTTATGATTTAAATTTTGTTTTATTTTTGAGTCTTCTCATTATCATTTTAATCAGGTCCAGTGAGGTATCTTTTCTACAATAGCATGCAGAGTGTGCAATTCCTTTCAAATTTCTGTTATTAAAACAACTGCTAGGAGTATATTTTTTGCTAAAAATATAATTCAGCAAGCAGAGCAATCTGCTTCACATCCTTGATTATCTTCTGTTAAACTGATCTCCAAGCCTTTCTGCTCAAGGTGGGCTTGAACCTTAATGCCTTCTTTTTAAACAATGCTACCCCCTCCTCATGTTTATCGTCTATATTTTTCTAGTGCTAAGTCTTGATTGAAAGAATATGTTGTGTAAAATACATGGCAGTATTTTTAGAACCAACTTTTGTCTTTATAGATGATGGCTGATCTCATGTTCAGAAAACAAGACTACGAACAAGCAGTGTTCCATTTACAGCAGCTTTTAGAGCGTAAGCCAGGTAAATACCCTCTGATTTTATTTCTTCAGCGCAGCCACCTTCCTTTCTCCTTTTTCTTCCGTTTGGTGAAAAACTGCCTGCTTATTCCCCACGTGGGCTTGAGTAGCTGAAATGGCTGTGAGGAAAATACAACACTGTTTTCTGGCCTCATTTTAAATTATGAGCGCAAACCTGGCAATCCTACTGTATTCCAATAATGAATTCATTGATTCTAACTACTTTTCCCCCTTTCTCCTGTCCCCTCAAACTTCCAACAGCCTTGCCCTGTTTCTTGTCCACAATTAAAAGCCTTGCCACCTACTTCACTAAGAGAATACTTGTACCTGAAAAAGAATTTCTCCCTTCTTTGTCAGCAGATTTACCCATTCCTCAGTCTTTGTCCTCCCCAGGCTTATGATCCCACCCATGGCCAGCTTCTCACCTACCAAAGGGCTTGATTCCTATAGTTTTCTCTCTTGAATTATTTTTTTTTCTAATCAGCATATAACTGTGCTGTGACATTTTCCTGCTCTAAATAAATCAGTCAGTAAAAATCAAGTCTTAACTCTCGCCCCCTCCCAATTACTGTGCCCTTCTTCGGTTCTTCTCAACAACAAATTTTCTCCAAAGGATTTTGAAACATGAAACATGCTGTCTTCATTTTGTTTCAACCACTACTGCACTCCAGGGAAGTCGCTTCTCCAGTGTGACCCCGATCTTGCCAGATCAGATTCTGTTCTCAGTTCTCTGCCGACTTCACCTGTCATCATATTTGGCACAGTTCATCCTCATCCACAGTCAAAGACTTTCTTCATTTGTCTCTGAGATCCTAAACTCACTCGGTTCTTCTTTTGCCCCATTGCCCACTGTCTTAGTCTACTTTGTTGGAGCTCTCTTCACTTTATGACCTTTAAATATCAGAACACTCCCAGCCTCAGTTCCCAAACCTCTTTTCTTTTTATATATTCACACCGTAGGTGACTTTGTCCAGGCACATGGCTTTATATCCCATGTATGTGCTGATATGTCCTAAACATTTATCTGCAGGCTTTACTCATGTACACCTCTGCCTCTTTGTATTCCCACTCAGATGTCTAGGAGTATCTCAAACTTATAATGTCCAAAATAGAACACCTGATCTTTTCCTCCCTCTAAGTTTGCTCCACCCCCACCTCTTACCTGACTGGCATCACTGCCCACTGTTATGCCAGCCCAGAACTCACAGTTAACCTTTGTCTCACCTTTCTCTCATATATCACCTCTAGTCTATCAGCACACCTTTGCTAGTGCTACATTCAAACTATACCTAGAATGCCATCACTTTTTACCACCACTGTTACTGCCACCCTGGTCTAAGCCATTGCCATTTTCCACGTTGATTATTACAGCATTGTCATAACTCATCTCTGTTTCCATCCCTAGCCTCCAAATAGTTTAGAATGCTTTCATTGAAAGTGGCAGAGATATCCCTGAAAATTTTAGGCTAAAAAAGCGTGGCTTTTTATTTTCTCTTCTGTAAAAGAAACCTAAAAGTACGCCGTGTAGGGACTGGCATGGGGGTTGCACCATATCATCAAGAAACCAGAGCCTTCTCTATTTTTGTTCCACATCATTACCCTGACTTGCTTGAGCATTACCTCATGGTCCGAGATGACCATTGCATTGCTGGGCATTATTGTTCCAGGGCCCAGATGGGGAAGGTGGGTGCAGAGCTGGGCTAAAGGGCTTGCCAACCAGCAAATCATCTTTTTATTTAAAAAAAAAAAAAAACCCTCAGTAGTATCACCTTTATGACTGCAAAAGAAGGTGAAAAATGTTATCTTTTAGCCAAATCTAATGCCCTGTAGAATAGTATCAGAATTCTAGTAAAGAAGAAAGGGACAATAGAAACAAGGTAGGCAACCATCCAAGCCAATTACAGCCTTGAGCCTTTTTTGCTGTTTCCACTTCCTGAAATATGCTCCTCCCAAAGGTCCATCTGGCTGCTGCCTCATTTTCTTTGGGATCCTTGCTCGAGTGCTACTTCTTCCTTAGAGCGCCCCTCCCCCGCTGGCCTCATGGAGCAGCCACTTCTTGCTCTCTGTCCTTTTATCCTGTTTTCTGTGTAGTTGGGTTTTTGGGGTTTGGCTTTTTTTTTTTTAAATGATTTTTGGGGTTTGTGTAGCCCTTGTGAAACAAAACAAAAAAACTGCAAATCATAGAACAGAAGCTTCAAGTGACCAGAAACGTTGCCCTTCACTGCTGTGTTTCCAGAATTTAGAAGGATATCTAGCTTAGTTGGTACTCAACAAATATTGGATGGAAAGAAGAGTGAGGGAGAAAAGGAAGAAAGGGAAGCAGGGAGGGAGGAGAGGAAGAGGAAAAGAAAGAGGTGGGAAGTGTTTGACTAACAGGTGGTGTATATTACTACCTGTGTTAACTAAAAAGAGTTTGACTGGCAGGGGAAGTCCTAGAGCTGTGTTTCAGTTCTTCTAAACCCCACTGTCTTCCTCTCTGGCTGTTGCCCTAGGCGCTCAGAGCTGCCTGGTTAGAGCCGCAGAGACACAGAGGTGGCCGTCCTTCAAGCAGGGCAACCTAAAGAACTAGATATGCTCTACATGCTACCTCTACTGATGCTTTCAATAAAAAGAAGTTTGAATTTAGAAAACATCAGTTGGTACATACAAATAAAATATCCCGAGTTAGTGCAAAAATTGAAAAGAAAAAATATGGTCTATTTTATAGTAATGTCAAAAGTTTAATTTCTCTTTATTGTTTTTACTATTTTTTTTTCCGCCTTGGGACTACCTCAGGCCATTTCATTGGTTTTTTTGCCCTGTCTTTTCCAGAGTATACTCAGATGTTATTTAAAAGAATGCTGTGAAAAAACTTGAGTCTTACCTCTTCAACTCACCCTGGGTCCAAAATACCGGCTCATCTTGCCACGCACATTGCCCAGACCTATTTTTATTTTCTTCAGGCTTGTGTCGTTTTTTTTCCTCTTCCATTTCTACCTGTTCCACACTGTTATCTCTTATTCCTCTTCTCTAAACTACCCATTTAAAAGTAATATACATAATACTTTCATTCTGTCCCAAGCTGTTCCCATTTCATAGTCTTTCCCTTTGAGACAATGATCTGACTGTATTTCTTTAAAAAACGGACTTCTTCCATTGTGAATATTAAAGATATTATCGTTTTCTAAGATTTGAAGGATCTCACCCATTATAGTTTTCTAAGATTTGAGGAAGGCTTCATGTGTCTTGTGGGTTTTGTTTCACCTAAGTTTCTGTTACTTGGCAGCAGCCCTTTTCCCAAAAAAATTGCCTTAGTAGACTGGCTGCTTTGGACTGTTTGTAAACAAATATAAAAGCAATTATTTATAAATACAATATAAGGATCATGTATTCCAGCAACACCAAATGACATACAGCCACATGTCCAAGTATTTGCTTAGGGTTTTTCCTTTGACCTAAAATGAACTTTAGCTGCCTTATCTCGTCCCCCTTTTCTCTTTCCAAACACATAATCTAAAATATATCCCTCTTGGTGAGGGGGGCGGAAAGCAAATCTGCTTCCCACTGCCACCACCTACATTAAAAAATGTCTTAGGTGATGCTGGGTAGCATGACCAACCATCCTAGATTTGCCTTGGACTGAAAGGTTTTCCTGGTTACAGAACTTCCCATACTAACAGAAAGTCCCAGGCAAAATGCGATGAGTTGGTAACCCTAATCCTGGGTTACTTTGTCCATACATCTTTATTACTTATAGTATCTTGCTAAAAATATTTATGTGCATATTTGTGTTCTTTATTACACTGTAGACTCCTCAAGTTCAGGGATCACACCATATTTATCTTTTATTCCCAATATCAGACAAAATACCGGGCACATGGATGTGGCAACATAGATGTTTATTGGTTGAATGAATCAGTCATTCACTAATGACTGTAAAACACTGACTCAATTAAAAATACAGCAGAAGAATCACTTGAACCCAGGAGGCGGAAGTTGCAGTGAGCCAAGATCGCGCCACTGCACTCCAGCCCGGGTGACAGGATGAGACTCGGTCTCAGAAAAACCCACAAATTTCTAAGTAAATTTTTATGATCTATGTACTATTTTTATGATCTATGTACTATCTTGTGTTGTGTGCTTTATTCTTACTAGTGCTTTATATACTTATTCACAGATCTATTTTGTTGGAATTATCCTAAAACATATGTATCTACATTAATTTTATGTGTATGTTATTGATTATCCTCAGTAACTCATCTTATACTTTAGGCTAAGGCTCTGTTTTAGCTTATTTCAGAAACTTACTGTACAATTTGACTTAATTTAAATAGTTGAAAAATTCGTCTTCTAGATCTAATTACTGCAATCATGACAGATTGCCCCTTTTCTCTCAGAATCTCCAGATTGCCTTGAGCTTTCCTCTTTCTTCATACTAATTGGTTAACATGTTTCATCAGTTCCCGTTTGCTTGATAGCTAGGTAACACATCCAGTCTGTCATATCCTAACCTACTGCTCTAATGAAGCCCTATATCACCCCTCACCTGAATTAGTGCAGATTGCCAACTCATCTTCCAGTCTCTAGTCTCTGGCTGCTCTGGGCCATCATAAGACTGTATCAGTTCTAAAAATCAAAAGCTATCCCTTTGCTTAAAATTTAGGATAGCGCTTCAGGATAAAGTCTAAACTCATAGCATTATCTTAATAATAATGTGGCCCAAAATTATTTGGCCATTTATATTTCTTATCCCTCTTCCTTTAATGATATCAAAGTTACCAACACTCCCCACACTGTTCTTCTCTTCCCTCTTGGAGCATGCTTTCTGCTACTTGGAATGCCTTTGTCTGTCTAGTAAGTTCTTTCTCATATCCTTGAGGCTTCTAAGGTCAGCTCCTATGTGAAATTTCCCAACTCCCCCAGGCAGAGTTAGGAATCCTGTGCTTTGTAATACCGTGGCACTGCATGTTGCCATGTCTCATTACCCTGTAACTATTTTCATATCTTCCTAGTATTCATCAGTAAAGATGGACCAGCTAAATTTTTTAGAGGCTAATATACATTTTAGTCTTTAATGGATTTCTTGCAGAAATTTGCCTTCTGTCAAATTTCCTGGTTAACCAAAAGACAAGTGAATGTAATTTAATCTATCAATGGTAATTACAACTTGAAGTAATAGCAAATACATTTCAATAGTATATAAGGGGAGAAATATTCAAGAAATTGCCTTCCCAATGTTGGCAATACTAGCAGTATCATATGAAAAAATTTTAGCCAGAAATTTTAACCTTTAGTTCTTGCTTAATCCAATACAGCTTCCAGATGCTGTTGTTTTATTATGGAGTAGTTACTCTATTTCTTATCAAAATTTTTGGAGGTATAAATATTATTAATATTTATAATTTATAAATATTTTTCATGCCTTTATTTCTGTAGCACAACTATAGTCAATATTATAATCATATTTTAGGAAAATAAGTATGTTGGACTCAAATAATTTGCATAATTTACTTGAATTCACATAGCTAAAGGACAAGACCAATAATTTGAATTGTCTTTTTCTGAAACCATATTCTTATTTTGCCCTTTTTAGTGATGCTAAAAGGAGTGATAAAATCTCTCTCTGGACTCAAGATTATGTGTCAAGGGGACAAATGATATTATCAACCTGTATTATTTTGATGTTCTGTAATCGAGTAGATACAATGTTTACAGAAGTTTTTTTTTTTTATAAAAATAATATTTTGCATTTTGGTGCAATATATGTAACACAAAATTCATCATCTTCACCATTTTTAAGTGTACAATTCAGTGGCATTAAATGCATTCACATTGTTGTGTAAGTCATCACCATTATCCATCTCCAAAGCTTTTTCACCATTCCAAACTGTAAGTCTATATGCCAGTTCCTCATTCCTCTCCCCTGACCCCCAGCAGCCATCATTTTACTTTCTATGTTTATGAATTTGACTATTCTAGGCACCTCGTATAAGTGATACCACACAGCATTTGTCTTTTTCTGTCTAGCTTATTTCACTTGGTGTAATGTCTTCACAATTCACCTGTGTTATAGTGTATGTCAAAGTTTCCTTCTTTTTTATGGCTGACATACAACATACAACATTCCTTTTTATGTATGTACTACATTTTGGTTATCCATTCAACCGCAATGAACATTTGGACGCTCTCCACTTTCTGTCTATTGTGAAGGTTACTGCTAGGAACGTTGGTGTACAAATATCTGTTTGAGTCTCTGCTTTTAATCTTTTGTGTATATACTCAGAAAAATTGCTGAATTATATTGTATCTTCTCTTTTCAAATAGAAAAGTAGAGTCAAGGATAAATAGCTTTAAAGCAAGCTTCTGTTTGTTTATTTTAATTGCAGAAATTCAACCTAAGAACATGTTCAGAATAGCTTATATAAAGTTTTTTACAAGTCCTCTACAAATCCCTAGTCCTGTGCTAGCTGAAACTTTAGCACCCAAACATCTAAAGACACCACTATAAAGAAGTAAATCATGTGAATCATCAGTAAATAAACCATTAAGTAAGCATTAAAAGTCATGTTTTGGAAGATTATTTAATGACAATTGGGAAATGTTTACTGTTTAATGCTCATCAAAATCAACATTAAAACCAGTCAAAACCAATCAAAGTCAAAGCCCCAAGTGTGACTCCAATTTTGTATATATGTGAACAGATGTTGATTTTGTATGAATATAAGCAAAGAAATACATATCTTTGCTTACATTTATATATAGGTTGGTTTTTAAATATATGAAAGAAAACACATCAAAATGTGCTACTCTAGCTGGAAATATGAATGATTTTTTTTGATACTTTTTATATTTTTTCTTATTTTTTTTGTAGAGCCTATACATTATTTTTATAGTCCTAAAAAAGATTTATTAAATTATTCTCAAAGCTTGGTATGTTAGTGATGAGAGAACTAGATAGAATTGGGAGAAGACTTTCTAGGAACCTGCCAGGAAATTATTCCTGAGATCAAAGAAATGAATTAACTATGTTTTTCTTAGAAGAAGGTGAAATAGAATTAAAATATGGGGACCAATATGCTAAGGTTCTAGTATAGTAAGCTAGTATATGGTATGTTATCTACATATACATATCAAAGAGAGACGGAGACAAATTTCTTATTGCCCACCCCATACGTTATTTGTCAATTGTACTGTTCCCACATCCTTCCTAGCAACAGTAAGTAGAAGAGGGGTTCTCAGATACAGGCGGTGAACTTGCCCTGTGTAATTAAATCAGTATTCCTGAACTATACAGTTGAAAGTTTAGATTACCTAGGTAGAGGCTGTTTCTGTAAGGCTTTGGTCCCCAAAACAATAGAAAAGTTACAAGAAATATGCATTTTTCTAGATTTGCCTATTTAGAACCTTATCTCACTGTGCCCAGCCCAGACTACGTGATTTAGTAGATCATCTAGTTGGCCATACAGTCTCTTTAGGGACTTATACCCTGAGACATTCTGTTACTTTTATTTAAAAATCTATTTTGTGTGAAGTAAATCATACTTTAATGAAGTGGAATTATAACCAACAAAACAAACAGTATAAAATGTTCCCCATATCTGAAGTATTATTTGTTTCTAGATAATTATATGACATTATCTCGTTTGATTGATCTCCTAAGAAGATGTGGAAAACTTGAGGATGTTCCAAGATTTTTCTCAATGGCTGAGAAGTGTAACTCCAGAGTGAAATTGGAGCCAGGATTTCAGTATTGTAAAGGACTATATCTTTGGTAAATCTGTTGACAAATAAATGCTACCTAATTTTTTTTTTCTCATTGTACATAAAGTAGAAAAATAAGCTTTTCTTTGTTGTTAAAAAAAAAAAAAAAAAAAAAGCACATTTCAAAATAGTTTGGTTTTATTTACCAGACCAGATTATAAACTAATATAAATCTTTTAGTCAGTGATTGAAATAAATAATTCTTTTAAACATTTAACAAGGTATACTGGAGAACCAAATGATGCCCTTCGACATTTTAATAAAGCTCGGAAAGATAGTGACTGGGGCCAAAATGCCCTTTACAATATGATAGAAATCTGTTTGAATCCGGATAATGAAACAATTGGAGGTGAAGTATTTGAAAATCTGGACGGAGACCTGGGGTGAGTTATTTTACACATTATCCTTTTTAAAAAAATACTTGTTGGAGATAATAAACAGGGATACTTTATCAAAGAACTAAATTCTAGGATAGCAATAATGAACGGCCAAATGAATAAATTAAATAAATAGGCATTTCATTACCTGTTTCTGAGAAGTTATTTTAGCAAATTAAATAATTATTCAATAGAATTGTTATTGCAGTATAGTATTCTCTGAAATGGGCATGAAATGCTTTAAGATTTCCTAAAATATAGTAGACATGCTGTGAAGACACTCACCTAATTATACAATTTGACAACTCTGGTAAAAATTATCCACACATGCCGGGCGCGGTGGCTCACGCCTGTAATCCCAGCACTTTGGGAGGCCGAGGCGGGTGGATCACGAGGTCAAGAGATCGAGACCATCCTGGTCAACATGGTGAAACCCCGTCTCTACTAAAAATACAAAAATTCAGCTGGGCATGGTGGTGTGTGCCTGTAATCCCAGCTACTCAGGAGGCTGAGGCAGGAGAATTGCCTGAACCCAGGAGGCAGAGGCTGCGGTGAGCCGAGATTCCGCCATTGCACTCCAGCCTGGGTAACGAGAGTGAAACTCCGTCTCAAAAAAAAAAAAAAAAAAAATTATCCACACAATGATAGTAACTACTTAACAAATGGTAATTTTCCAGACCCTCTCCTCTGTACTTCCCAGGCACTATCTTATTTGTTTTCTACAACAGTGTTGCCAAGTAAGCTGAGTCAACTTGTTTAATGTGATAGTAATGATGGAGTCAAGATTTAGACTGAGTCCTGACTACTGTTAAGCAGTGTGGTATACTGCTAGTAAACGGTTGTATTTCAACCTGCATTAGTAGCCTGTCTTCTCTTCATATGCAGGCAAGGAATGTGGGGGATGTGTTAGGACGTAAAGGGAATGTAAGAGGTAGTTCCTGCCTTCAAGAGCCTGTAATTTACTTAAGAGGCCATGCAATACCTGAAACCTTTGCATCTGCAACTAAACAGAAATGGACTTAAATGGATATTAACTACTGTTGGAGTTCATAGGAATAGTAGCAGTCCAGAGTATTCGGGGGAAGATGCATGGAGGAGCAGGAGAAAATTAGCACTAGATTGCCGAGAGGTTTCAATGACAGATTTTAACGGCTGGATTACAGAAACCACTGAAAGTTTTAGAGCAAGAAAGTGGCATGTTTATGGTTGTTTTACAAAGGTTGAGATAACATTACTGTTATGGAACTATAAGCTATCCAAGTAGAAATCTTCTGCAGGCAATTCAAAATGCAAAACCAAAACTCAAAAGAGAGGTCACACCTAGGGATAGAGATCTGGGAGACATCTGCAGAGTGCACAGTTGGAATTCCATAAATGGCCTCTTTGAGAGTAGAGTATAGTAACACAAGTCCGAGAACTAAATTTTAAGCTTGCTAACATTTAAGGGGCCTGGAAGGAGGAAGGAAGGTCACAAAAGGGCAATCAGTATGGTAGCAAGAGAACTAAAGCCATGTAGTATTACAGAAGCCAAGGGAGAAGAACTTTGAAAATGGTAGTCAACAGTGTGACGTGTTTCAGGCAAGATAAGCTTAAGGCCTGAGCAGAAGACCAGTGGCTTTAGTGATTGGACTTTGAGTGTTTCATTTCCTTTTATTAATTGATTTATATATATTTATGTGTGTGTGTCTGTGGTATAAAACAAGAAAGTTGCTATTAAATATTAAAATGGCACTTGGAATTACTTTTTGACACGCATATAATTTCTGAGATTCTAATAGACAACATGGTGAGGAGAACAGAGTAGATTTTATATGTCTGATAAACTTAGATTCAGGTCCTAGGTGTACCATTTATTAGTGGTATGACCTTTAGCAAGTTACTTTACCTATTTGAGCCTTAGTTTTCCTGTATCTAAAATGGATTAAACATAGATAGAATGAAATAATACGGCAATTGCCACTTTTTCCTCCCCCTTTTCTTTCCTTTCCCTTTTTAAATAGATACATGTTAATTTTGTGATTCTACTTGTATTCTAGTTTTATATTTGCTGGAATGCACACATTTACGACATGTAGGTATTGTCAAATTTTTGTCTTCATTCTAGAGGAAATTAATGCTTACTGATGTTTTACTGAGTCCGTATTAATTTTGTTTAAAATGCATTGTAACTGTGCTTCACTTTGTATTAGAAGAGAATGAGTGACATTCTTCACAAAAGATTACTTTTAAATGAGTGACAAAAAGAGCACAGAGAGTGCCCAGATTCTAATTTCAATGAATTGTATCATGAGTAAGAGACATAAGTGATTTATTTTTAATTATATACAGTAATTCAACTGAGAGGCAAGAATCTGTCCAGTTGGCAGTGAGAACAGCAGAAAAACTTCTTAAGGAACTAAAACCTCAGACTGTTCAGGGTCAAGTACAGCTTCGCGTAATGGAAAACTATTGCTTAATGGCTACCAAACAGAAATCTAATGTTGAACAAGCATTAAATACCTTCACTGAAATAGCAGCATCTGAGGTTAGTGGGTTTTCCATTTCAGCTTCATATGTTATCTTTCGTTGGTAGCATAGAAACATGTACTTTGATTAGTTATGTATTTTTAGGAGATTTACTCAATTACTTTTATTAAAAATTAGGTATGTAGTTTAGCATACACAATGTCTCCTTCTTTGCAGAAGAGACAGTGTTACTGTTTTGATATGTTATTAATATATTTCTCCCTATTGGAATGTTAAATTCTAGAGAAAGGAAATTCTTCAAAAGTGCATAAGTTAATTCTCAAGGGAGCCACTTTGTCCTCTGGAGAATTTATGTGTTGTAGATGTAGCCAAGATTAACTTACTAAGTGGAAATAAACACCTGGGTGCCCTGATATCTTACCTCTGCACTTACGTGAACTTGGAAATTTTCCAGCTGTATAGCTACATGAGATCATTATAATTTAGTTATATAAATAATGATGTTCTTTAGCAACACGGAAATAACCTCCTGCAATCTTTTCATTGTTATTTTCACAGTATTATTCTTACAAAATCAGAGACTTTTTTGTCTTTTTACTGTGCTTGAATCCACCTTTTCTCTTTTTTTGTTTTGTTGTTTTTTTTGAGACGGAGTTTCACTCTTGTCGCCCAGGCTGGAGTGAGTGTAGTGGTGCAATCTTGGCTCACTGCAACCTCCACCTTCCGGGTTCAGGAAATTCTCCTGTCTCAGCCTCCCAAGTAGTTGGGATCACAGACGCCTGCCTACATGCTCAGCTATTTTTTGTGTTTTTAGTAGAAGCGGGATTTTACCATGTTGGCCAGGCTGGGCTCAAACTCCTGACCAGGTGATCCTCCTGCCTCGGCCTCCTCCACCTTTTTTCTTACTCTGTAGATATTGTTTTTATTTCCCTCACACAGCACTCTACTTCTTCAATTACTTGATATTAAGAAGCAATTCTAGGTACCCTCTCATCAGCAGTTGGTTATAGTTACTAAGCCTGCTTATTGGATTTCATGTTTGTTCTTCCATTTGATGATGCTGTAGCCCACCAAAAACTCATCATTTTGTGTCTCTCAAAGGACATACAGAATTTTGCTGTGATTTCTTGTGGTTGGAAAGTCATAGTGGCAGCAATAAACTACCCAAAGCCCCGTACAGTGATATCTTTCCCCCAACCTTCCAGGGCCCTAGAGGAGATTGAGATGTCAGGGGTTTGGAAGACCTGCAACTCTTGTCGTGGCTTGGGTACAAGTATCCTAAATAGCAGCTTTATTACCATGCTTGGAACAAAACAGCAGGGCAGCATGGCAGCGGCAAGCCTCCAAAGCAAGGCCCTTCTGCAGACATTGAAGTAATGTGCTCATGGGTCGTGCTCTGTTGAATTGGCTTTGTGGAGCAGATGGATGACAGCTGCTGAATGAAGGGAGAGCAGAAGTAGGGCAATCATGTATGTCTAAGAGGACCTCTAGGAACATGAGGAAGCACAGTCTCACGTCAGGTGCCATAGCTACTGAATGCTGTGATGTGCTACTCTGTCTCCTAACAATGACAAAGTTTATTTTGAGTAAATCCATTATCCCTACTGTGAAGTATAAGAGGTAAAAAAGGCCAAAAGCAGTGAATATTATAGCTATTTCCTAGAAAGACTATGCCTGCTTTCTGCTGATGAGACTGAATTTTTTTTTGTCATCCTTACATATGTGGTTAGTAAAATACTATCTTCAAATCTGCCTACTAACCATATTATTCGAATGATGATGTATGGGCTGAAGTTTCATAAGCATCAAATTTTATCTCACATTATTTTCTTTTAACTCATAGGCTGCGTATATTCAACATAATGAATATTCATTAAGCAGCCAGTAGGTGCTAAGCATAGTAGGAAATACAAAAATAAATAATGTATGTTCCCTTTTTTCAAGTTTATCGTAGTCTACAGAAGACGAGACAAGCGTACTGACTATGATGACTGTAATACAAAGCAAAATATATTACATTCTATATCAGAATTCCAAATAAAAATGCTGTAGGAGACAGTGTAATGAGAGTTGGGAGACCCTTATGTGAAGAAGGTATGATTTAAGAAAAAATAGGATTTAAGAAACAGGTATGATTGAAGAGCCAAGATAAATTGCATTTTAACAGGCAGAAATGGGGACGATGTGTTCTAGAGGGAGAGGAAAATGTGAACAAAGTCAGGGAGGCAGAAAAACATACGGTATGTTCACAGTCCTCTGTGTCATTCAGAAGGACTGAAAACGAAGTATGTGACAGGAAATCATGGAGGAAATGGTGGAAAATACACTAAGCCCAAGCCAAAGTGTTTCCACCTGCTTTCATTGCCCCTCCTTGAACCATAAAGATGAGATGTTTATAATAAAGCTGTGTTGTCCACACCTGAGTCTTGTCCTTTGCAATCTAAAGTTACTGCAGTTTAGAGTTATTGAGAGACAGAGAAGCTGTCTGTAGGTCTTAGGATGTCTGCACCAGAAAAAAGACCTAAGGCAGGGTTTAGAACTCAGGTTTGCTTTTGGAAACTTTTCTTCAGTTCACTCAGTAGTGATCAAGTTGTGAAGAACTGATACATTCTAATCAAACTCAAAGTGTGTGATTTTAAACTCAGAGAGGTTATTCTTAATTGTGTAGTGTAGGATATTTTTGTGCATGTGAATGAATGTGGGTCCTTTTCACAGGATCATCCTCTTCTTATGCTGTCCTAGGACCTGGCTTACAAATACATAGCAGACTTCTATTTTCTCTCCTCCCCTGCCTACCTGAGGTGGGCTGAGGTGAGGTGAAGGTGAGGTTCAGTAATTAGTAGCATCCCACACATCTTCATAATCTACAACCAATTAGTTGGATTTGACACTCAAATGAAACTGTTTTGCCACTTCTTACCTAGAGGAACAGATTACACCTTGGAAGTTTACTGATAGACATAGAATTTGAGGCAAGGAAGTTTTTATATTTCTAAAAGCTGTTTCCATAAAACCCTGATGTATTGCCCTTCTCTATTCCAGAGTTATTTCTTACTTCCAACCATGATCAGTTGGACATTGAACATTTCACCAGTCTTCTTTTGCAATATTCCTTATGGGCTACCCAAATTTGCTATCTTACAGTATACTTATAGTAATGACATCACCATTCCTCAGTCACAATTCCTCATCCTTTGCTTTTGTTTTTGTTTTGAGACAGGGTCTTATTCTGTCTTCCAGGCTGGAGTGCACTGGCACAATCATAGCTCACCGTAGCCTTGAACTCCCAGGCTCAAGCAATCCGCCTACCTAAGCCTCCTGAGTAGGGTTGGCCACCACACTCAGCTAGTTTTGTTTGTTTGTTTGTTTGTTTGTTTGTTTTAGTAGAGGCGAGGTCTCTCTGTGTGCTAGCTTCAGCATCCCAAAGTACTGGGATTACAGACGTGAGCTGCCACTCCTGGCCCCTTTATTTGTATGTTAAGCTGGGTCTTTCTTCTTCCTTTATAAATGCATCATAATCTGTCTGCTGAAATTTAAGAAGCATTCTACCTTAATCAGGAACATACACATTATTGCTAATGAAAGATGTCTGGATAGATCACTAATGGCCTCCATTTTGTATGAATTTTTACTAACCTATTGGTTTCACAGAGTGACATTCTCTGACTTCAAACTCTATCCAAAAGAATATCGTATAGACTGTTTTAGGAAGCTGCAGAATCCAAATCTAAAAGCATATTTTAAGACATGAGCTTATTTTATATATTTCCAAGTGTTGCATTAATTGTACACCTTATTTTTAACATTTCATTGTTCAAACTTGATTGAGAGAAGAGGTTTCTGAATAAAAGGAGAGGGAGGGAAAAAAAGCAATAGAAGTCAGAATGGATAAGGACCATCATTTGCTGGTAAATTATTGTCGTCTGTCTTTGACAGGTGAAAGAAGTAGGATCCTAAATGTTAAATCCAAAATACAAACTGCTCAATAAGGATTTTACTGAAATCGAGTTTTATTTTAGCTGTTTCTATGTAAAACTAAAACATGGCTATTTGAATCCCACTAGAGTCTCACTAATTCTTGGAATTGTGTGCTTATGGCATCTGAATAGTTGCCATTATCTTGAATTATCTTGACCACACAGTGCTTCACCAAGTCTGTTCACAGTAGCTTGAGGGTACTTGATGTCTTAAATAATGACTAATCACAGTTCTCTGTAATGAAGCTAGAAATATAATCCACAAACTAGTTCTTATGTAGCATTTTCTGCTTTGCGTATGTTTTGGGACATTTATATTTGTGCATCTTGTGGTCTAAAATTTTATTTTCTTATAGAAGGATCATATCCCAGCACTCTTGGGAATGGCAACGGCTTATATGATCTTGAAACAGACTCCACGAGCCAGAAACCAGCTGAAGCGTATTGCAAAAATGAATTGGAATGCTATTGATGCTGAAGAGTTTGAAAAGAGTTGGCTGCTACTTGCTGATATTTACATTCAATCAGCAAAATACGATATGGCAGAAGAACTATTAAAACGGTGCCTGCGTCATAATAGAGTAGGTGATTGAGGAGTAAAAAATTATTTTTAACTTTTGCTGCATAAGCTTTCCGTAATAGATATTGTTGAGTGTTAGTCCATTTCCAAGGATTCCTGTGTGATTTTGGAAAACTAAATGTTTATTCTTACCACAATCAGGAAACAAACGTTAATAATAAGAGAGAAGCCATTTTCCCTTTAAAGTTAAAAAAAAAAAAGATTTCTGCAATTTCAATTTTCAGCTGTATTAGTGCCCTACTTAATGGGAAGTGTTTTTGGAATGTCAAACGTTTGCCTGTGATTATCCATCTCAACCCAGAACTAATGAAAATTGCAGAAAAACATTAATTGCGGACGTCTGTCCCTCCTATTAAGAAATACTCTTGATGAATTTACTGCAGCTGCATGTCATTTTCACATTATTAGAATCCATTATGCATAATATATTTTGTGGGAGAAAGTCTTTTCAGCTTTTAATTTGATTTGTTTAATAGAAATTCCTTATCTTTAGGTATAAGATTGAATATTATAAAGTCCTTATAATTTAAGGCTTTTTACTAACATTTTCATGTTTAATTACAAAATATGTCATAACAGTTTTTTAAAGTCAAGATTTATTTGTTGAGAAATAATTGCACACAACTTAGAAATGATATTTATCTTCATATATTCATATACTTAAATCTTAATCACAGTAAATCTGTTTTAGCAAATTACATTACAAATGGACCATTTGTTTTTTAAAGAAGAGTTGTGATTATCTAGTACTATTAAGATGCTTTCCTAGAAACTTAAAAACCTGAAAGATCCAAGCATTTATCAATTTATAAACTATTCTAGATGATTAATTACATAAATTTTAAGTTAAATTGGCCTTGAAAAACAGAATACTCATTAATAGGCTTTGAAAATCTAAATTGCTGAGTAGTTTACCCTTCTATGCCTCGTCTAGGATTAACCAAGATTGTATGAGAATTAAAGTTTCAGTGCACACAGAATTTCAGTTTGCCAGAACGCTGATAACAATATATTGCATGGTTGAACATGATGGCTGCTTTAGAGGCTTCATTCAGCCCTACTGGTTGAATATGTTGATTTTGAAAGTGTGACATTTAAGAAATAAAGCTTAGAAACCTTGAATTACATAATTTTAAAAATGGAAGTCATCCAGATCTGGGGCAGGAAATGTACAAGACGACACTAGACTGTCTTGCCTTACCGGATGATTGAGGAAGCTATCTATGTTGATTAGAGTTTGTGTCAAAGACCTAGTGGCCAACTTGAAGACACCTCCAATAGCCAAAGTTGGGATGCTTTAAGTATCGAAAAGAATAACTGCAATATATCAAAACACATAAAATCTGTTTAAATCCATGACTTCTCAAAGATCCAAACTAGAAAAAGAAAAAAAAACCTAATTGGTGTCTACTACAGTAAGCTAGTGAGCTGACTGCTATTTCTGAAGCTTGCAAATAAATAGTCAATGAGATGTTTCTCATCATAGACATTTTCCAGCTAATAAATGAAGGAAGACTGATAGGCTATCCCCATTTTTCAACCCTGATAAATTTAAATATGATGTAACATCACAAAAAGAGGGAGAATCAGACATTCTGTGCCTCCCAATAGAAGAACATACATCTATGGCAGGGCATACATCTATGGCAGGGCTAAGATTGGGGTAATTCAAGTGAAACACTCGGTAATCAAGATAAGTAATAATTTAATGCAGTTGTGCTAAGCTGTATTGGAGACTGAATCAAAGGGGAATATGTGCATTCCTATATTAATGTTTTTATATATTTTTTAAATGGGTAATGGTTTTAATGAAAATATTGCTGGGGAGATTTTTTCCATTAAAATGAGATGAGTGAAATGGTAAGAAACCAAGTTTAGGTATAAATAAAATGTTCAATCTTAATGTAGTGATTTTTAATATATACTTTCAGATTATTCAATAGTTTTAAACTCATGTTTTGGAAAAAAATTACAATTAAGCTACTCAGGAGGCAGAGACAGGAGAATTGCTGGAACCCTGGAGGCGGAGGTTACAGTGAGCCGAGACCCTGCCACTGCACATCAGCCTGGGCAACATAGGAGACTCCATCTAAAAAAAAAAAGATACTGTTTCTTCTGTAGCTTCCTTTATTTTTCCTTCCGTTTTTCTTAGTATCTAAGAAATACATTATTTGACCAAGGACCTTGTGTCTCCTCTCCCCTTTCCTAGCCTATCCTGACATTCATGAGAACTTCTCCCTGTTCCACCCTTAAAACGCTGAGCTTTCGGGACCCTGCCTGGCTTGCCATCATGAAATGGCCTCGCTGTCTGGGGAAAATACCAAGGTTCTTGGTCTCGCAGCCGAGGAAATCAAGGATGTGGATACACACAGGGTGGGATTGGGGCAGGAGTTTAATAGGCAAAAGGAAAGAACAGCTCTGTTACAGAGAAGGGGCCCAAATGGGTTGTCAAGTTGTAGTAGAAGTGTCAGGCTTTTATAGGTGGGTTGTTGGGGGGTGGGGGGTCATATCTTCTGACGGCCCAAAGAACCAGTTAGGACCAGGTGTGCTATCTGCATAGAGCAGAGTCTCTAGCAGCCCCAACTCCATTCTTTTTTTTTTTTTTTTTGGATGGTGTCTGGCTCTGTTGCCCAGGCTGGAGTGCAGTGATATGATCTTGGCTCGCTGCAATCTCCACCTTAAAAAAAAAAAAGAAAAGAAATACTCAAAAATATGCATCCATGTTTTTATGCCTCAGGCTCCAGTATGGCTTATCATGATACTGAAGTATGAAGTAGATTCACCTCTCTCCTCCAGAATTAAAATTGAATCCAAACCTCTAAATCTAATTACAAATTCCAGAAAATGTCAGTGACATAGGAATATATTACATAAACACCACAAAGATGCAGTCAACTAAACCCTGGGTGGTGAGAAACTCTGGGATAAATATTCTTGTTTCTATTACATTTAATTTCAAGAAAAGAGACCCAGAGAGACAGACAGGAAGAAGGAAAACCTCTGGATCAAAAGAGTCTAGATCAAAACATTCACCAATTACAATGTTTGGTCCTTATTTCAATCCTCAATCTAACAAAAAAAAAAAAATTATATTGAGATAATTAAAATTTGAACAGTACTGGATATTTGGTGCTATTAAGAAATTGTTAACATTTTAGGTGTGATAAAATTGTGGTTATGCTTAAAGTCTCTTTTAGAGGTACACACTAACACATTTAGAATTGATATATCTGAGGATTTTTTCTGGTAACACAGAAGGATAGGTTTGTGAGATGGAGGTGAAACAGCATTAGTCATGAGATAATTGTTGAAGATAAGGGCTCGTGGAGTTCGTTATGTTCTTATCTCTGTATGTGCTGAAATTATTCATAATAAATAGTGTACCTGTGCTTGTGTACAATACAAATATCCTGTTGTGTATTTCTGATTCTGTAAAGGAAACGCTGATACTGCAGATTTGTGGTGGAGACTTGGCATCAGAATCATTTATTAAGTTCAGTAAAAAATGTGATTGCCTACCCAAAGTTGAAAACTATTGTTTGATGTGTCGTTTAAGTAGATTAATATGATTGATGTTTAGAGTCACAAACATCCCATAAAATCTTAGTAATATCACATTTAATCTATTGATGTCTCCCGTTTTTCTTTAGTCTTGCTGCAAAGCTTATGAATATATGGGATACATTATGGAAAAAGAGCAAGCATATACAGATGCTGCCTTAAACTATGAGATGGCATGGAAATATAGCAATCAGACAAATCCAGCAGTAGGTGAGTTTTGCAATCACCTAGATTTTTCACAGAAAAATTATGTTTTATTTATTTTTATTTAAATGCATTTGATTTTTTTTCAAAACAAAATAAATGTTGAGTCAATTTTTATTGTCAAACCTTTCTGAAAGGAGAGTAAATTTTATATTCATTATATATTATTAGCTACTAATAGTTACGTATGATTTCCTGAGTTCCAAACTTGTCTTCAGTCACCTTAGTGTACATCTAGTCTAATTCTGTCCCCTTCTCTGCCTTCACCCTCTGCTATTTTGAAATTGGAGATGCCACAGAAAAAGATGTTTCCATTGCCAAGTAAATTAGGAAAACATTGCATTAAATTGAATTGCATGCGTTTCTTTGCTTCTCAAAGCCTTTAAACACTAATAGATATTGCAATGGATACCACAGAGGGGCCCTGTTTCCCACAATTATTTGACCATGGGTGATTTCTTGTCCCATGAGCATCTAGAAACATCATCCAGTCCCAGTGTTTTGTAGGCTGTTAGTTTGAGGAATACTAGTCTACAGTGTCCCTAATAGAGGTGCCATCAGAATATACTTCATGACCAACCTCTCCCCTCATGTGAGGGAGCTCATCCTCATGTTTGTGTTCTTTTTCTTTGTATTGGGTTGAAATATGCCTCCTTGAAACTGCCCAGATCTGTTCTCTGGAGCAACCCACAGAATGTCTCTCTCTTACAGATCATGACCCTTTAAATTGCAGCTTCTGTCATGTGTCCTAAGGCTATCTCTTCAAGCCATCTACAGTTACTTGTCCCTTCTTCCTAAGATTGCATTCCGAGTCTCTCACCCTTCATGTTGATGTCTCTTGGAAGCTCCAAAATAGTGTTTCCCAAACTGTGCTTTGGAACACTTGGGGAGATTCTAATAAATTTTTTTTTATTAAAAAGAATGGAGTGTGAAGGTGGTAGATGTCATGGCCATGTTAAGTTAGGAAAACGCTGTTTTGTTTTTCCATGTCCCTCTGACCTGTTGTACCGTAAATGAACAAGCTCTCAAATATGATTTGGCTAGTTGTAAGTATAATTAAGCTATTTTTTTTTTGATTAAGCCTTTTGGAGTTGCTAATTCAGCCTAAGATGACATCTATCTTTTCAGCAGGCATGTCACAGTGTGAATTCAATTTTAATTTGCAGTCAAATGGGTCACCCTCACACTAACTGCTGTTAGCTCAGGTCTTCCCTCACCGTTTAGTTTTCTGGAATCTGTTCTTGTACTATACTAGACTTGTACAAAGCACAAGAACTAATGATTTTTATAGTATTTTTATTCAAAAGTGTGATAGATCTTTCAGAAGAAAGTCACCTTGTAAAATGAAAAATCCTTAAGTATCCTTAAAATATTAAATTTGACACTGTATTCCCTGGAAGGAATACACATAGAAGTTAAATTATTTATATATTCCATTCCTTGGAAGACCTCAGCAAATAAAGGAATTCCAAATCACCAGTTCTTTCATTGTGTCATTGTTGTGCTTTATAGATTATTTTATCAGTTCCTCAAACTTTGCTTTGGTAAACATTTCTTTCTAAGGCTCTCCATTAATTCCTTAATTTTATCCTTAAGATTATCATTGCATCAACACCCGCAACTTGCCTGGCCAAATGAACAATGCATTTCACTTTTTCAGTTGTCAGAAAACCCTTAAAATCATGCTCATGCTCTTTCCATAGCATTCTGGCCATAGGCCCGAGCACGTGTGCCTTTGTGCGCGCGTGCGTGTGTGTAAAGATATACATACATAGACATACAAATATATATACAATCGTGTCACTTAACAATGGAAATATTCTGACATATGTGTAGATGATTTCATCGTTGTGCAAACATCCTAGAGTGTACTTACACAAACCTAGATAAAGTCAACTGCACACTTAGACTATATGGTATAGCCTATTGCTCCTAGGCTACACACGTGTACAACATGTTACTGTCCTGAATGCTATAAGCAATGTGTGTATGTAAACAGAGAAAAGATAAAATACAGTATTACAAAAATACGAAACACAGTGTTAGTCACATAGGACCACCATCATGTATATGATCTGTTAATGAAACATCATCATGTGGTACCTGAACTATATATGAAATATTGTGAATTTTAGGTCATTTCTATTTATTTCTTTTTACTAGCATCTGATAATGTTAGCCAATAATTTTTTTCAGACACTTAAAATTTTAAACATTTGTTTTGGTACTTTTATTGGAGCCTAAGAGCACTATTCACATTTCATATTTTTAAGAGGTAGAGTGAAATATTTATTATTACATATCATTTTACATTGCATTATAATATCTTGTTTACTGAGTACACAGCTGCTATTACTTGTCTTCTTAGTTTTCTCACTTTTATAGCATGTTACAGGAGAACAACATCCATTAAAAGGAATGTCTTTTAAACATTATTCTAATTGTTGATAGTGGAAGTGCGGCCTTTCACTATCAGTAACTGTGATCATTCTTACCAGTCATTGGTGACTGATCTGCCTTCCTCTGTGTCGCTGTCCTACTTGTTCTGTCTTCTCGCTGTACTTCAAGTTCACCAACTCCCTATGTGTCCTACCACTGGCCTTAATCCATGCAGTTGCCTATATCTGACAGTGTCCTTGATTCCTACCCTAGCCTAGTTTATGCTTCATCCTTCAGATTTCAGACATCTCTTGACACCCTGTTCTTCCCCAGTCAGGTTCTTTATGGTGACTCACTTGGCCTGGATCTTTCATAACATTTATGAAATTGTACTGGTTTTGAAAATATTCATTTACTCATGCAATTATTTTAAAATGTACTTTTTCTCCTGATAGAATGCAAACCTCATAACTATAGGCATCAGTTTGCCTGTGTAAGTGCTAAAATGAATGGCTGTGTTGTCATTTACTGCCCTGTGATGAGTTTTTACTATAATCTGAAATAAATGAGACTTTTCTAGTAAGTTATAGAAACCACACTTGTGGGATGGCAGCTTTCTAACTGAACAACATATTCACAGTGATCCTTTATTCCAACTCCACTTTCTTTTCTTCTTATACTTCTTTTGTGTCACTCTGCCTACTATTATCATGCAAGTTGTCTGTATAGTGTAGTTCAGCTGTTCATTCACCAGCCCCCTTACAAATGCTTTAGTGAGTAAGCAAAGAGAGGAGGAGCCAAGGAGAAGTAATAGTAGCAGCGTACTCCATCATTCTGTTTAATGGTTTTTCTCTTAACAGGATACAAACTGGCATTTAATTACTTAAAAGCAAAACGATATGTGGATTCGATTGATATATGTCACCAGGTAAACACTTAAATTTAGATTTCTTAAAAAATTTTCAGATGCACCATTTCCTCCTGTTTTAAATCTCCAGATGTATTAGTTAAATGATTTATCAGCTATGTTCAGGGAGATTATCAGTGTTCAAAATTTAGAAAATAATGCTCACCTATATAAAAAACATATTTTTACTTGGAGATCAAATAATAAAATGTTTATGCCAATTTAAAGACAAAGACTACTGAGAGGTATCTATAAACAGTAAGCCATAGAATATTTACATTTGTGGAAGGGAGTAGGTTTAAAGTGGTAGAGCAAAAGAGACTTTTACTAAAAAAATAAAAAAATAGACAAAGACCAGTAGGAGAAACATGTTAAATAAAATTTAGTCTTTAAGTTAGAAGCTATTTGAAGACAGTGTAAATTCTCCAGATCATTGTTCTGAATAGAAGTTGTTGTGAATGTGTCTGAATCTGTTTACTAGAGAATTCAGATGGACCAACTAAAGATAAAAAGGAATTCTATTAGAAGTCATTCAGTTACATTCTGTAATTCATCCCCTACTAAAATGACAAATATTTAAAGTATGGTTTTAGAATTTGCATAGTATCTTCATATATACATTGTCCCATTGATATTCCTTATAAGGCATTCTATTAAACATTGTAAGGAGCTCCAAGAAAAGTTCCTTAGAAAAGAATTTTGTAATGCCCCTTTTCTCACAGCATCATTACCGTAAATACTTGATCTTAGTAATTGCTGTTGATTACTGAGTCTCTGTAAAAGAGTATTGCGGTCAGGTTAGAATTGTATGTTAATGTAAGGTCATATGTAGGATCATTTTTGGAGTTATTAAAAAAAATATTATCTCCCCACTATTAGTAGACCTGGAAATGTGTTTGTCTCAAGATTATTTCAAGTAAAGCTGATGTGTACTGCTGTATAAAAATCGCTCTCTAAGGGTTTATCAAATATTATGAATAAAAAGCTAAATTACAAAAAATATTTTAAATCATTGATATTTGTTTTATACAACTAATCTATTTAGTAAACAATTGTATTTGTTATATTTCTACATCTGATATTCACACATTAATATAAAGGAATCATCATGTTACATTTAAAATGTCACCATTAAATAACTGTTGTAGTATTAGTACTAGGAAATCTTAATTGTAAGCTCATTTCTAGTAAGTTTGTAGCTCCGTAGTTCTTGATAATTAGTTACAAGTTTCTGTGGGTTCTTTGTTTGTTTTGCAGGTTCTTGAAGCACATCCAACTTATCCAAAAATCAGAAAGGATATACTTGATAAGGCCCGTGCATCTTTAAGACCTTGAAAATAATTTTAACGTAGGTTGTTGGTTTAACAGGAAATAAAAGAAATCTTTGAGTTCTTCCTGTTCAAACAGGTTTGAGCTCAATGCTTTGTTATTAGAAGTATACCCTTTTTCTCCAGCAGAGGTTGCTGCTGTACATCAAGAGAAGTACTCTGAAATTGGTGTTTTCTAATGGAGTTGAATGAGAGCTGGTCTGTTTAACTCTTTGATTAGGTACAGATTTGATGACTCTGTGATAAAGACTATAACCATTTATATAAAGAAAATTTTGTTAAAATCTGGGTGATTAAATACCCTGTATCTTTTCTAAGAATATGTATTTCAGGAAATATATTTAAAATGCATTGTTCTCTGTTAAAAGTGTTTTTGTCTTCCTCTGTTTTGTATCAAAGGATTGAATAAATCTCCCCATCAATAACTCATGAAAAAGACAATATATATATATATATATATATATATATATATA